GGGCCGGAGGGCGGGGCCTGGGGTCGCCGGACCCGCGAGGGGACCGAGTCCCGGGCGAGGGGCCGCGCCCCCGCTCTGCGGCCCCCGCCCCCGCTCTGCGGCCCCCCGTCCCCACCCCCACACAACTTCGCGGCCCGGCGCGGGATCCCGGGGAAGTCTTCGCTCTGCCCTCGAGTCCCGAGTGCCCGGCCCCGCGGTGCCCCCTGCGCCCTTCGACCCGCTCTCCCCTCGAGGTCTGGGGGCGGCGGCTCGGGACGTCCAAACCCAACTCTCGGCCGGAGCCGGAGACTCGAGAATTGCGTTTGGACAATCAGGAGCCGCGGCCCGGACGGGGAGGGTGCGCGGGAGGACCGGGGCCGCGCGGAAGCGGGGACACACGCGCGACGGGGCCCCGCGGGGTGGGGCGTGCGCTGGGGGTGGGGGGCTCGAGGGGCGCAGTGTGCGGTGCGAGTGGGCAGCGGCCTCTTCGGGACCCGAGGAGAGGAAGGAGGCCAGAGAGAGGAGGGGAAGGAGCAGAGCCATCCCCGCTGAGGGCAAGGAGTGAGAGGGATACCGGGAAAAGCGACCGTGACGGGCGATCGGCCGCTAGTCTGAGGTGGGGCTCTAGGACTTCAGCTGAAGCTGCCAGGGGGTGGCCTGCCTCTGGGACAAGTCAGCAGCGGGTCCCCTCGACCCCCACCCCAGTTCCCCCCTACTTCCCTGTCCTCTCCTTCTGTCCGTGGCCAGTCCTTATGTGGGCGCCAGAGTCGATTAGCGCGGACCCCCTCCCCTTCCTCCTCCTCCTCCCAACCCCCTCCCTTCTGCTCTCCTCCAGCCCCTTTCATCGGCTGGTCCATTCCCCTAATCCCGGCCCCCTCCCCTAATCCCCCCCATCCGACCCCAGGCCGGCTGCAGCTATTGTAAGGTGGAGAGAGAGGGGAGGGTGACTGAGAGAAAGGAGAGGGGTGGGGGAGGGCCACCTGTTCCAAGACCCCCTTCCAAGGCCAGGCTGGACACCAGGATGGGGCCAAGATCAAATCACCCTTGAGGACCAGAAGGACCCAAGCAGTTGGGGGAAGGGGACTGGCCTTCTGAACCAGTGAAAGGGGGTGGGCCAGAACCCCTCCCTCCAGAAAGACCCAGAATGTCACGCATACACAGTGACATACACTTTCCTCTCACACCCGGCGGCGGGGGTTGCCCTGGGAGACCAGGCAGTGAAAGGGAACAATCCTTAGGGAAAGGGAAAGGGGGAGGTGGGGAAGGGTCTGAGGGTTTGGACACAAGAAGAACCGGAGGTGGCAGGGAAGAGGATTTGGAATTTATTAGGGTCACAAGCACCCCTGCCTCCCATATTCAGCATTCCTGAGCCATACCCTGCCACCCCTTTGTAGCCTGGGAACTTAGAGTCCTCATCAGCAGGAGGCCAGGCAGAGTGGTGGGGGAGTGAGCAGAGTCCAGGGTCCTCGATGCAGTTACATGAAAAGACCTCCTGGGAGGGGCAGAAACGTTGGGACAGATGCATGGGTGGAGAGAGAAGCAGACTGGGGGTGCCCACTTGTGTGCCTGGCCTCGGGACCCTGTGCCCTTCCCAGGGGCTGCAGGCTCTCCTCGCTTGCTTTCCCATCTGGTCTGGGTGCCACTCTGCCCTCTGCCTCCCCATGAGGGCCTCATACCAGTGACTTCCACTGAGGCCCCTGTGATGTATCCACTATCTTCAGAGGCTAAGAACGCAACCACCTCCGCCACATCTACAGAAAGGACAGGCAGAGTCCCACTTACTTCCTTGGTCTTGAGCAGCCTTAACCAGGCCCCAGGCTTGGTGCTACCCTCAGAGATAGCACAGTGCTTGGGTTCTCCTCATTTGGGGTCCCTGCTCCCCACTCAGGACAGCCAGCCCACTCAGTGCTCACCCTCAGGGCGCCCCATGTGTCCCATCGGGATCATGCTGGTCACCTGTAAGGAAACACTCATGCGGGTGAAAGTTTTCTATCCACTTGTTGGAAGACCCTGCTTTCCCCCTTTTGTCTCTGTCCCTTAGACATTTATGAAGCATTTCCTATTTGCCAGGCACTGTGCCCAGCGTGGTCTCTGCAGCCCAGAGGTTGGGTCTCTGATCCATTCTGCTTCCACCCCTAGCCTCCTACCTTGTCCTTTACTTTCTGTGGCATTTTCTGAGTCATAGGTGTTGCAATGAACCCTGGGAGGACAGAGTTACAGCGGATCCCGTGTCTGTGGAAGGGACAGTGGCTGCTGACTCTTGTGAGGATCCTGAGCTCTCCCTCTGTCCCTATCTGCCTCTGTGAAGTCAGAGTCCCCAAGGTCCAACCCACCGTCCAAGCTCCCGGGCTGCAGTCTGCGTCAGCCCGATCACTCCAGCTTTGGATGCTGCATAGTTTGTCTGCCCCATGTTTCCCACCTGCAGGTGCACCAGAGATGTAGGGTGAGTCCCGAGCAGGGGCCTGGCTCTGTGCCCACTGGGCGGCTGACCTTGTCCCTCTTGACCTGACCTTCGCAACGATGCTGCTGATGTTGATGATGGAGCCATGACTACCACTGGACACCAGGGCCTGCGCTGCAGCCTGAGTAACTAGGAAGATACCCTGGCCGGAGAGGGGTGACAGGAGGAAAGGATCCATCAGCTGAGGTGACAGCCTTCCTCAGCCCTCCAGGGTTGGGTAGCATAAGTTATAGGCTCAGAGGTCACCACCTTGAGGTTGACAGCTATGACTCTGTCCCAGTCATCCTCAGACATTTGGAGCAGGAACTCATCCCGGGTGATGCCCGCACAGGACACGACGACAGATGGTGGGCGACAGAAGCAGGCCTGCGGGAGGGGGAGGTTACGCACGAAAACACCACAAAGAGCCAGGGTGGAAGGGCAGCTTGAGCTTTATCGGGCAAAGGCGCGGGCGTTCACCTGCACTTGTTGCAGCAGGCTCCTCGCAGCCCTGGCCTCAGACACGTCAGCGTGGAAGGCGGTGTGGTTCCCGCAGGGAGTCCCCTCACCGCTCCCCAGCCCACCCAGGAGCTGCACCGTCTGGTGCGCTGCTGCCCCGTCCAGGTCACAGGCGGCCACCGTGGCCCCTTCCCTGGCCAGGCGCGCACAGACCGCGCGGCCGATGCCGCTGCCCGCACCTGGGTGGGAGAGACGCGTGGGGTGGGGGTAGGGGTCAGAGGTCACAGGACGCAAGGGTAGTAAAATTCGGACAAAGGGTCAGAGGCCATGGGACTTGTAGGATCTGGGGGTGCATCCTCTGATATCACGCCGCACCCAACCCGCCCCAGGATAGGACCCCTCAACCTGTGACCAGGGCCAGCGCGGAGCGGAGCCGGAGCTGAGTCGCCATGGCGGGCGGCGGGTGGGCGGGCACACTGCACCCTGGGCCAATGCGAGCGCACGGGGGGTGTAGCAAAGGCCAAGCTGTGGCCAATAGAAGCCACACCAGCCCTGGGCCATCTGCGGTCACAAGCGCCGGCCGACCTCCCAGCGTGGGGGCGTGGCCAGAGGCCAGCACTCCGGGCCTGGGCAATGGGGGGGAACCACAAGGCCCCATTACCCCCCCAAAGAGACAAAGACTGCATATGGGGCGGAAAAGCCAAGAACTTTATTTCCAGTCACTACCCTTCTCCCTCGATTTAAACAGTGATATAAAAAAATGAATAGAAACAAATCAGGCCAACTAACCCTCTCCCACCCCGACCCCAAATCACCCCAAAATCAGGATGCACGATTGATGTTTACTCCGGACTCCTTGTTAGACTCTCTGTTCAGCGCTCTGGTCTTCCCTGACTATCCACCGAAGGAAGGTGGACCTTGGAGAACCATATGTGGCAGCGTGGTCCTCTGAAAGTAAGTGGGGCTGCAGCCACCGGTTATCTATTGTCACTTCTGTCCCTTTAGTCTTCTTCATGGCCTCCCATACCCCCAAGGTAACAATATGGTCAGGCAGTGCTCCCCACTGGTCCCTCCTGCCTCTCAGCCCCACAGCCCCTCTGATGCCCAAGTAGCCACTCTCTTAGGTTTCAACACATTACTGTGGCTGATGTTCCTGCCCAGGGCCTCCAGCACCCCCAGGCCCCTGCCCTGGAGTTAAGGGAAGAGGTCTGGAGCAGGGTGGGTGGGGACGCTGTCTCCCACCCCTCACTCCAGGTGGGCAATCAGCACCATCATGAGGACTCCCCCCAGCAGCCCCAGCACCTCCAGAAGTGACTGCAAAGGTGATGCTTCCCTCAACAGCTCAGGCAACACGGACACTGTTGCCACGTAGATAAAACCACCAGCAGTGAATGGCAGAACCCAGCCGGGACCAGTACCACCAGCAACTGCACTGCCCACTGCCCCTCCTTCGGTGAGAAGGGCACAGGCTGCGCCTGCCAGTGCCCCTACTGCAGTCAGTAGCTGTAGACGCATCGCCTAGTGGGCAGGAAAGAGACAGGCACTCAGCAACAGCTAAGGATGAGCAGTGGTTTAGACGTGGCTGCGCAGGTATGGAGCACATGTGTTTGCAAACTAAAAAGCCAGCTAGAAAAGGGAGGGGGCTTCTGCAATGCACGTTTCCTGAAAACTCTTTTTTTTTTTAATTTTAAAAAAAAAATTTATTTATTTACGTGTGTGTGGCCAGCTCAGCCCACCAGGGGGTGGGGCGGGCTGGCATGTGGTGCTGGGGGATTGAACCGCGGTCCCTGTGCTTTGCTAAGCTTTGTTTTAAGTAGGTGCTTTAGACCACTGAGCCATCTCACCAGCCCTGAAAACTCTTAAAACATCCAGGAGGTTCTTTCCTTAGAACTCTGATTGAGTAAGTGGATGTATTTGTAAGACTTCATCATAAACCATCCAGATGGTTTACAGACCAAATTTCGAGAAATACTGAGGTAGGTTGGGCACAGTGGCTTAGAATCTCAGCACTCTGAGAGGCTGAGCCTGGAGGATCTCAAGTTCAAGGCCAACCTGGGCAATTCAGCAAGATCCTATCTCAAAGAAGTAAAAAGGGCTGGAAATGCAGTTAAGTGAAAGGCCGTGGGTTTGATCTCCAGTACTGCAAAAAATAAAACAAAACAAAGAACTGAGCAGCAGGGTAAAGAAGCTCTTCCCTGTCACTCCTAGTGATGCATTCTCAGGAGCAGCATAGCTCGTGTGGAGCTCGTGACAGGCAGCCTTGGGCTCGCAGTGTGTGAGCAGGGACGTGTACTGATGGCAACTCTGTTTGCTGGACATCTCACCAACCTGCTTTTTGCTGCAGCCAGACTGGACCAAGATGGCAAAGTCTCCGACCTCATGGGGCACTTCATGTAGGAGGACAGTTACTGTGGTCAGGAGGCCCAGCCCTCGGCCCCCACGGAAGGATGCACCAATGGCCAGCCCATCGGTGAAGTTGTGTGCAAAGTCGGCAGCCAAGTTCAGGTACCCAGACACACGCAGGTCTTGTACAGGAGAGGAAGAAAAAACTGTCAGGGAATTTGGTTACCACCAGCCCCAGTCCTGCTCCGCCACTGTCGCATTTCCCCTCTGAGACGGCTTCCCGAGCAGTCCCTCGGCGTTTCCCTGACAGCTGGCATCACCCACAGCACACACTCCAGCCACGATGACCCTGGCCCTTACCTGAACCTGTTTTTTCCTCTTTGGGATTCTGAGGACTTGTGGAGCCATCTTTGGGCCTGGTGTTCCCTCCTCTCCTCTTCCGCAACCCTCCTGCTTCCTTTTCTTCTTCCTCGGAACTGGGTTTCTCCTTTGCAGGATGCTCTGAGGGAAGAAAGGAGTTGGACAAAACGGAGAACAAAAATGTTCTAACGTGTCCTAAAGGGAAGGCTGCACGCTTGCCGCTCATAACATGAGGCGATTCTAAGAGGTCAAGGTGGTTTTTGGTGCAGCTGCTCTTGGGCTCACCCTGCTTTTCATGTCCACGGCTTCTGTGTGCATGACTGTGTCCATGTCCATGACTGTGTCCATGTCCTCCTTTCACATGTCTCACAAATTTCTCCACCACCAGGAAGGCAACAATTCCACTGAGAACCCACAGCCCCACAGACAGAACGGGGCCCTGGCCTAGGAATAGAGGCAGAGACATTAAGGGGAATGGGATCCCATTCCAGGGTATTGTGGACTCCTCAAGTGCAGGAGATAAAAGCATAGGAAGAGATGTTCCCCAGCATCCTGGCCCTGGTAGCCATGTCCTCACCGCTGTGCGAGTGTCCATGTCCAGGCTGCTCCAGTGTGTGGTGAGCATGAGGTTCTGTAGGAAGGAAGAAACAAAGCAAGCTGAGGGCGAGGGACTACCTTGAGAACAGGAAGTCCCATTCTTCCACTGCCACTTTACTATATGTGTCACCCCTATAGCTGTGATACTACACAGTGCTGAGTACCTCACCCAAGGGCTGGGGTGGGGTCACAAAGGAGAGAGGAATCTTACAATCTAAACACTGAAGCACGGTGCAGAGATTACTTACCCAGGGCATGAGGGATAAGGTGCAGGAAGGCATCTCCCAGGAGCCCCCCAGAAGCAAAACTGAGCAAGATCTGGAGCAGAGAGCGATGTCGCGGGGAGTTTGACTCTACTGGGATGAGGAAGAGGACGAAAAATGGAGCTGCTGAGATCAGCACTGTGGCCCCCAGTGCCTGGTGAAGGGAAGTAGGGATCAATGTTGCAGAGTTTCTCAACGATACAAAACCAGTCCCCCTCTCCCCCATCCCCTGGGGACTTACATAGGCCCACAGTGTGACAGTGTCCAGGTCATGCTTGATGCCTGGGGACCCAGGTTCCCCATAGCCTCTATGGCTATGTTCGTGGTCTGATCCATGTCCTCTGTGGTGCGGGTCCTCATGAGAGTGGCCATGGCTGTGGCCATGGTGCAAGTCCCCATGTGAATGTCCATGGTCGTGCCCGTGGGTGTGCCCATGCCAGATGCTCTCATGAGTATGGCCGTGGCCATGAGCATGACTGTGTCCATGGTGGAAATCCTCTTGTGAGTGCCCGTGGCCATGGAAATCCTCTTGCACGTCCTTATGCGAGTCACCGTGAGCCCCGTGTCCAGCCACCAGCAGCCCCAAGGCTTCCCAGGTCAGCAGTCCCACTGCCACCCAGTGTGGGGCCCGCAGGCCTCTGGCCATCACGCTGACCATACGGACAGAGACAGTGATTCCACTTTGACTCTCAATTCCGCTTTAACCCGCGCGTGCCCTCTGTCCACGACTGTGGACTGCTCCCGCATTCCATTCCGTCCCCACCCACAATGTTTCCAAAACCCGTTCTTTTTATCCCGAACGCCTCCCCGATGCGCCCCCCCCAACCGCTCTAGCCTTTAAATGGTCACTTTATGGACTCTCTGGGCCCTCGTCTCTATGACCCATTAGGTGGGGAAAAGGCCTGAAATAGCAGGGAAAAGCAGGGAATCCTCACCGGCTCCGGGGTCCTCTCCTTTCCCGGTCTGTACGGACGTGGCAGTCACGCCTCTATCTCGCGCGTGAGCCGGAAGTTCCGTTCTCCCTCCGCCCCAATACTGTCCCTTTACCAATATGGCAGCCCCCTGGGAGAAGCGGAGCCCTACAGCACCAGCGCGCGTGCGCGAGCGTGAGGTTACCCGAGGGGAGGGTGCGCGAGGCCGGCTAACAGGCCGGAGGAGAAGGCCGGCTCGGTTTCCAACTAGGCGAGGGGGCGGAACTAGCGACGAGACTTCCCGTCTGTACAAAGATGGCTGCCGCAGTGGCGCTGTCATTTTGGTACCGAGCCCAGCGAGGCGCTTAGTGCGGCCCGAGCCAGGCCAGAGGCGCTTCCTCCAGGCCTTCTTCGTGCTCAGCTAGTTCCCCGGCCGGTCCCCGGGGATCCCGGCACCTCTCCGCCGCCCGTCCACTCAGCCGGGAGTCATGTCCTGGGCCGCCCGCCCGCCATTCCTCCCCCAGCGGCATGCCGCAGGGCAGTGTGGGCCAGTGGGGGTGCGAAAAGAGATGCATTGTGGGGTCGCGTCCCGGTGGCGGCGGCGGCGGCTCTGGCTGGATCCCGCGGCGGCGGCGGCGGCGGCGGCGGCCGGAGGACAACAAACCCCGGAGCCGGAGCCGGGAGAGGCTGGACGGGACGGGATGGGCGACAGCGGGCGGGGTGAGTGTCCGAGAGGACGGGCGGGCGAGCCGCCGACCGCGCTCCCGCACCCCTCCCCCACCGCCCCGCGCGTCCCCGGCGCTCCCGCCCCCTTGTTTGTAAACACGCGTCCTCGCCCTCCCGAGGCCTCAGCGCCCTCCCCCCGGGGCGGGGCGGCGCGGGCAGGGGGAGCTGTCGCCCTCCCAGCCGGGCGAGGCCGTCCAAGGGCCCGCGCCCGAGGTCCGGGGCGTGGGAAGGACACGGTTCGCCTCGAGCTTTCGACCTCTGGACTTTGGAAGGCAGCTCCTGCTGCCTAGCAGGGTCTCTTTCGCCTCTTTGCCCTGCACACTCTGGCTTCTGGGTTCTCAGCTGGTAATGGAGGGGTTGGGTGGCAAACCCCACGTGCCGCCCCACCCACGGCGCAGGTCGGCTTGGTGCGACCTGCGTTCATTCAGACCTTTGCTCGCAGTGTTTCCTTGTCTGAACTGCCCTCTTTAGTTAACCCCGGTTCCTACCGCAGGAGTTAAACTGTTTGACAGCTGGGAGTATTGCTGGATTCGGGCATGGCGGGCCTGGGGTGGGGTCGGGGTGAGGTGGGGGGTTTGGAGAGTTAAAGTTTCCAGCTGAATGATTGGAGACTCATACTCTCTCCTGTCTCTGTGTGTCTCTCTGTGCTGTGTGTACCCCTCTCTCAGATTCCAGAAGCCCGGACAGCTCCTCTCCAAACCCCCATTCCCAGGGGGTCCCTCCCTCTTCCCCTTCTGGACCTCCCCTACCCCCTTCAGCCTCATCCCTTGGAGGCTCTGGGGCCCCACCCCCACCTCCAATGCCACCCCCTCCGCTGGGTTCCCCCTTCCCGGTCATCAGTTCTTCCATGGGGTCGCCTGGCCTGCCCCCTCCAGCTCCCCCAGGATTCTCCGGGCCTGTCAGCAGCCCCCAGGTGAGAGATTGTGACCCATCTATTGTCCGCCCACTTTCACTGCCTTGTAACCCTTGATTCTTTTTGAACTTCCTCGCAGCCTGGGGATCTTCCGGTCCCCTAGTTCTGTAGTAGCGCTGAGGTAGCTGATGTGCATACTTCCTCCTTCATTCGTTTTATTTAACTATTTAATACCCTTAATACCTTTACTACTCTTTTCAGCTACCAGTGATTGTCTGCCCATTTGATCCTATCTGCCCTTCCAAGACACATGCCCTTCAGGGCCGCTGTGTTGCTGGTTTCCGGGAGAACTTTCTGTCTGTTCTCCTTGAGGTTGTGCGGTCAGTGCGTGGCCCTTCCAGAAGACTGCAGTGTAGCCAATGCCTTCTGGAATGTGCAGTGCAGGGCCCCGCCTAGTGGTGGGAAGTGATCTCTGTGACCTCTGAGAGATTCTCCTTTCCAGTGTGTCTCCCTGTAACTTCCCTGTTTCCCCTACCTCAGATTAACTCAACAGTGTCGCTCCCTGGGGCTGGGGCTGGCACCCCTGAAGATGTGAAGCCACCAGTCTTAGGGGTCCGGGGCCTGCACTGTCCACCCCCTCCAGGTGGCCCTGGGGCTGGCAAACGGCTGTGTGCCATCTGCGGGGACCGAAGCTCAGGTATGGGGTTCAACATGTAGGCACAGAGGAAGTCTGGGCCAGTTAGCACTGGTGGGAATGCCTGGCTCTGGGGGTTGAGAGGCTGGGGGCGCTAAGGAGGATCAGGTGGGATGGAGGAAAAGTAGTCAGAGGGACAGGAGCTACTGTGGCACTTCTGACAGAGAGTGGGGGTGGCCACAACTCCTTGGTTCCTCCTCTCTGTATCTGGCAAACACCAGCAGGACTTGAACTAAATCTGGCTTGGGGGAGCTGGGCCGTAGTGAGGAGGTGCCCACGCAGCCTTCTTCCTGCGGTTCCCCTTCCCGTGCAGGTAAACACTATGGGGTTTACAGCTGCGAGGGCTGCAAGGGCTTCTTCAAGCGCACCATCCGCAAGGACTTAACTTATTCATGCCGGGACAACAAAGACTGTACGGTGGACAAGCGCCAGCGGAACCGCTGTCAGTACTGCCGCTACCAGAAGTGCCTGGCTACTGGCATGAAGAGGGAGGGTAAGGACCCACTCCACACAGCGAGGCTGAAGGCACTTGGGCTTGTGGCCCTGTCCGGGATGCGGTACTGTTGGCTCTGCCCTCCAGTGGGTGATGTTTGTGCATCCCTCTCCTTAGCGCTTCCCCTGGCACCCTGCTCTGGTCTGCCCTTGGCTTTCCTCGGAGTGGTTCTCTCTTTGGCCTACACCAGCTCCCCACCCCCTAGGGTAGGCTCCCTCTCTCAGTGAGGATGGCCTGTGTCGCCTCTGATCTAAGCAGTTCCTCCTCTCCCGTCCCATACTCTTCTCTGGTCTCTGACTTCCCGTTCTCTGTGACCTTTCCTCTGACATCTGGGCTCAAGTTTCTTAAGCTGCAGACTTCACTGGAAGCTTAGGGGTTGCCTTCCCTCCTTCCTACTGCATCTCCATCTTTTCTGGTCCTAGAGTTCTGAGAGAAGCACTTTAGAGTTTATGAACTCCCTCCTTTTCAGGGGAGGGGCCTGAGGCCCAGCTTTCCCAGGGTCCCCAGTGCCGGCAGAGGGCCGATAGGCCAGGATCAGAACCCAATCTCTGGATTCCCAGGCCAGTATTCGTTTCTGCTGCGACACTTTAGCGAGTCAGAGAGTGCAGAAATTGCCGTCATGCAGGCATGGGTTCAGATCCGGGGCTTGTAAGGTATTGTGTGAACTTAGACAAACTGTCTAACCTTTCTGAGCCCCAAGTTCTTCATCTCTAAAGGTGACAACAGAGCTGCAGTGTCGTTAGGGTTCCGGTGGCTGTTACAGCACACGGGCCATCTCCTGCTGCCCAGGCGGCCCTCTGCTCAAGCGCTGGCTTCCTCCCCACTTCCTTAGCCCTCTTCTTCCCACGCGCATCACATCTGTCCTTCTGTAACCTCTGCTTGTGGACTGCCCTGGTCCACCTTTCCTAGAGAACCCCCAGTTGCAATAAATATCTCCCAGGAGACAGTGGGCCCTGGTAAGACTCCAGAATCTCTCAGGATCCCCATGTTTGGCGCTTACTGTTCTGTTTTCTCTTCTCCCGTCCCCACCCTGCAGCGGTACAGGAGGAGCGGCAGCGAGGGAAGGACAAGGACGGGGATGGGGAGGGTGCTGGAGGAGCCCCCGAGGAGATGCCCGTGGACAGGATCCTGGAAGCAGAGCTTGCTGTGGAGCAGAAGAGTGACCAGGGTGTTGAGGGTCCCGGGGGAACCGGGGGTAGCGGCAGCAGTGTGAGTGATGGCATTGACCTCTTCTCCTTTGTGGCCGGGGTTGCAGGGAGGGAGTCTAGGTCTGTCCTGTGTCCCCACTGGTCTCCTTTGTACTCTCCACACTGCCTGGGATGGATGGAGTCACCTCAGCCTTACAAGCCCTGAGGTGGGTGTGCCACTCCCTCTATCCACACTCCCAGTGGAAGAGACACAGGCTGGTCCCAAAGAAATACTTGTTTACGCGAATGCTAGAAGAGAAGCCCAATTGATAGGGTTTGCTTTGGATGGGCACCAGGAAGATTGTATCTAAGGATGGGTGTCAAATCTTACAAGGAGTGCATCCAGCCTACTACCAGACCGTTCATAAATCTTATCCCTTTTCCCTGCAGCCAAATGACCCTGTGACTAACATCTGTCAGGCAGCTGACAAACAGCTGTTCACCCTTGTTGAGTGGGCAAAGAGGATTCCCCACTTTTCTTCGTTGCCTCTGGATGACCAGGTCATATTGCTTCGGGCAGGTCAGTGACCTTGAAGCCCCTTGACCTCTTGACATTTGACCCTTCTCTGGCCTTCTGACCTCCAGTAACCCCAGTGGCCTTAACTTATATACTCAAGGAGCCATGTGTGCTGGTCTGACCACCCCTTTCCCTCTCTTCCCCTGCTGGGCCTTGACCCCGTGGCCTGATCTCTGGCTCCTGACCCTGCTGCCCCACCTAGGCTGGAATGAGCTCCTCATTGCCTCCTTTTCCCACCGGTCCATTGATGTCCGGGATGGCATCCTTCTTGCTACGGGTCTCCATGTACATCGAAACTCAGCCCATTCCGCAGGCGTGGGAGCCATCTTCGACCGGTCAGTGGATCTGGCCTGGGCTGGCCTCTTGGTTGAGGGGGTGGGGCTGTAGGCTGGTCCAGGTCCAAGGCTGGCTGAGCTGTGACCTTTGAGTGACCTGCAGGTCCCTCTCCAGGGTGCTGACAGAGCTAGTGTCCAAAATGCGTGACATGAGGATGGACAAGACAGAGCTTGGCTGCCTGCGGGCAATCATTCTGTTTAACCCAGGTAAGAGCACTGCCACCAAGGCCATCTTGGAGCCACCTCTGCTCTGGAGGCTCCTAAGATACCCAGCTGTCCCCTCAGTAAGACCCTCAGCCCAGAACCTCCCAGTGGGCAGAAGCAGAACTACTAGCAGATCCTTGCCCTCTGCTCCCTTCCCACAACCCACTGGGTCTGCCATCAGGCAGAGGCCCAGCCACAAAGCCTAAAGGGGCGCCCTGGGGCCCCACCTGCGTCTGTCCTGTCTTCCCTGCCGGGCCAGATGCCAAGGGCCTCTCCAACCCCAGCGAGGTGGAGATCTTGCGGGAGAAAGTGTACGCGTCGCTGGAGACCTACTGCAAACAGAAGTACCCTGAGCAGCAGGGACGGTGAGGGGCTTGGAGGACCCCAGCATGGAGGTAGGGTGGGTGGGAGGGGTGCGGGGCTGGTCTGTGCCTCTTTCTTCATTCTTTTTTCCTGCTCCACCTCAGGTTTGCTAAGCTGCTGCTGCGTCTTCCTGCTCTCCGGTCTATTGGCCTTAAGTGTCTCGAGCACCTGTTCTTCTTCAAGCTCATTGGTGACACCCCCATCGACACTTTCCTCATGGAGATGCTTGAGGCACCCCACCAGCTGGCCTGAGCACCCCCTCACAACGGAGGGGCACCTTCCAGGAGGACTCCCTGGGGCAGAGGGGAGGGGCCACGTTCCCAGACCCAGCCTCAAGCAAGCAGATTGGCACACAGGATCCTCAGCCCAAGTCAGAGGGGACTGAAGATCCCTGTGACATCTTTTTGGGGTCTTGAGTCTCGGGATTTTTGCGGTCTCCCATGGTTTGGGGTGAATATCACCCCTCCTTTCTCCAGCACATAGCACTGGCTGTGCTCTGAGGACCCTGCTTCCTTTTCACTTGGCCTCAATTCCATCTGAGAGCCAAGATGGGGAACTCTCCAGGGGATGGGAGTTGGGGGCAGGCCCCCCAAACTGATGGATGTGGACGTAGGGCCCTAGAGGCCGTCTGGCTTCCAGCCCCAGCAGGTAGGGGCTCTGGGAGGGGAGGAGCTGTGGTGGAGACCTGTCTGGACTGCGTGATGGTGCCTCACCTGCAGTCTGACAGAAGCAGGGGTGCTGGTGGTGCGGGGCCCTGCGATGCAGGAACCTGTGTATTTTTAATTCACTCTGAGGGTGGGACTCGTGGTTAGACTCAAAGAAGTACTGTACTTTCCCAGCCCAGCTGAGATGCCTGTGCTGGCCTGGGGCTTGGGCATGGTGGCTGAGGTCAGCCTGGGCCCCAGGCCCAGCTTTCCTCACACTCCTGTGTGGGCTGGGAAGGCCCCCGGATCGCAGCAGGTCAGTGGGCAGCGGAGGTCCTGGTCCTTAGCGCTGCTCCAGCCCATGGCTGCAGGGACCCCAGCCTGCAGAGCCTGAGGTGCATGAGGTTTGCCCTGCATCTGTTCTTGGGGTCCTTTCTCCCTTCCTCACACATAAAATCGCTTTCAAATTAAACTTGCTGGTGTCTGGACTGAGGTGATTCAGGGATGGTCGGCCAGGCACCGGCCTGGGGGATATCCGGCCGGGCACTCCGCAGGCTCCCTGGACGCTGTGCCGCCGCGGCTCCCTGGGGCCCGAGTGGCAGCGCAGGGTGGGGGACACAAGGGCGCTTTGTCGGGGAGGGGGAAGTGGGTGTGCCAGCCGGGGGCGGAGCCAGCGCTTCTCAAAGGCGCCTTGTTCCTGTGCCCGGCCAGCGCCAGGGGCGGCGGCGCCTCACTTGCTCCTGCCTCCTCAGGGCGCGCTGCGGGCTCCGGGCAGACCCGGCGCCGTGCCCGCCCGAGGGGGCGCGCTGGGCGAGGCGGCCTCCCCAGGCGCTGCCCGCCCGCCTCTCTGGATGCGGCCCCACGTCCCTGGGTGACCCCTTTCTTGCGCCTCCAGTCTGCACCAGGGCTTCCCACCGCGTCTCTGGGTCCCGTTCACCTGGCCTTTCGGCCACTTCCGTGGCGCCCCTTCCCTGTCTCTTGGACCCGGTGTAGCTTGCCTGCCCGCGCCCGGCCTCCCTCTGCCCTCCAGCCCCCTCCCGCTAGGCACTATCTATAACCTTGTCTATAAATACCCGCCGCCCTGTAATTACACTGGGCGGGCGACAGAGGTAATTACGGAGACCCGATCGTGAGGGGGCGTGGGGTGGCGACCCCCAGCTCCGCCTCTCCCCGCCCACTGTGTCCCAAGTCCCGCCCAGGGTTCTGCTGAAAGGGGGGGTCTGGGCCCTCAAGAGGGAGGGAACTTGGGGTGACTGGATGCCTGGGCGCTAGAATAAGAAGGAGCTAATTAAGACGTAGATTGAGTCCCAAAGAGAGAATCTTAGGGCCCGGGCCATTGCGTCGCTGCGAGGAGCAGGGGCACAGTTCAAGGGTCATCCCAGGAGGGAGGAGGGTCCCCCTCCCAGGTGCGGAGGGTGGGGTTTCCCTGGCTGTGGGCGGCGGTTGGGGGCGGGGGCTGGCCTGGGGGCGGGAGCGGGGACGGGTGGGGGTTCTGGACTCGAGGTGGAGGGGGACACAGGAGCGTCGGCCACGGAGCAGGGAGCAGTGCGGCGTTGAGCCCCGACGGCACCTTGCTACATGGAACGGGGCTGCTGAGGGCAGCGGGCGCGGGACAGCGGCCGACCCCTCCCGGACCCCAGGTGCCAAGCCTGCTTGCTGTCCCCTGTCAGCCTGCGGGCATCCCCGGGCCCTGGGACCTGGACTTCTGGTCGCCCAGCCATGGAGCAGCGGTACAGCCGCTGCCGTCGCATCCTCCTGCTCCTGCCCCTGGTGCTGGGGCTGAGCGCTGCCCCCGGCTGGGCAGGTAAGAGGAGCGTGGGCGCCCGGTTTCCGGGTGTTGGTTGTCCGAGGCCAATGATGCCTGGGCAGGAGTTTCTAGAAAAGGGACAGGGCACCCAGGTGTAGGTTGGAGGCGAGGCCCCGGGCTCCTGGGAGCCAAGATGGGCATCTACCCCTCCTTGACAGGACTGGAGAAGGGCAGGGTAGGCTTTTGGAAGGCACAGGCACCAGCACAGGGAGCCCCGAGGTAGGCTGGGTGCTTGCCTTGGGTCCTGAAGAGACCTGAAGATGGCCAGGGCCTGTGTTGCCAGGCTTAGCTCACGTTGGGAGGGCAGAACCCAGGGTTGCTGGGGCGGGAGGAGGGGTGCACATCCCGGACAGAGCAGAGCCTTGGAAGCAGAAGAAAAAGGATGCCTCAACTGCTTGTGCCACTGGCTGGGAGGCCAGGGTCCCCAGCCCCCTCCCTGTGCCCTGGATGCTGCCACGCGGCTGGCTCTGGGGAGCACCAGGGCCAGCTGCCAACAGGACGGCCGCTGGACAGGCGGGGATCAGGTGTCTGAGGCTGCAGCCAGCTCTCTGCATTCCTGCCCTGCCCCTCCCCCTCTGGCCAGTGGGCTCCCCTGGGACCCTGGTGTCCCCAACCCCCATCGTTCCCCCTCTCCCCTCACAGCACCCAGAAGTCCTGGTTCCTAAGAAAAGGGATTTGATATCAGGGCAATAGCGGGAGGGAGTACTTGGTCCCAGGCAGGCTGGACTGAGCCCCCTAACTGTTGGGAATACTAGGGATTGTTTTGTCTATAACTTGACTATTCCTTTCTTCTGTGTTCTGGACAGAAAATAGAATGGCAGCATAAAGGATTTAGATTAGATTACAGAAAGAACTTCCAGGCTCTAGGGAATGAGGCTCAAGCACAGGATAGTGAAGTGTGGGGTTTTACAGATCTAGGAGCCTTTCTTAGGGTAAAGAACCCCTACCACAGACAGCTGAGATAACTGTCCCTATTTTGGGGCAGAGCTGGTGGAGAGGGGAGACTGGGAGATGGGTTACCATGGAATCTGAGATTAGGGATGGGGCTCTGGACGACTCAGAGGTCGAGTGGTGTGGGTGCTGGGTGCCAGTGGAGAGCTGCAGGGCAGATGAGGCCTAGGATGGGGGAGAGTTTGTGGTTTGTGGTGAGAAAAGGGTGCATAACATGGACTGCCTTCTCCTGGGGTTCAGCGAAGGTGGGGGCCTCTGAGGTCTCCCTGGCCTGGGGTCTCTGTGAGTCTCTGTCTCGCTCACCTTGGTCTCTCAAAGCGGCCCTTGTGTGTTGGTGTTTGCGGAGCTGCCACACGCAGGGGCCAGGCTTGGGCGGGTGGGGGGGGCACCGTGGTTTCCCGGCTGCTGGACTCAAAGGGCCTTTTCTCTGCTGCCTGCCCCCACCTCACCCACCCCACCCTGCTGTGCTCTCCTGATGGCTGTGGCCTCTGCCCTGCCCCACACTTCTCTTGAGCGTTTTGCTGGAACTCGCTTTGGGATTTTTCCAATCTGCAGCTGATGGTGTGAGAGGTGTGTGACTCAGGGAGCAAGCCAGGGAGCGGTGACCTTTCCTTCATCTTCTAGGGAGCCTGGGCTGAGCCAGCGAGGTCTGGGTAGAGCCGGTTAGCAGCCTGAGTCTTGGATCTTTGGATCTCAGGTGGTGGGGGTGGCAGGGAGGGCTGAGATTCCAGGTGTGGGGAGCTTGCCCGGGTTTTGGGCAAGGACGCTGATGGGATCCGCAGATGTGTGGCTCCGGGCCCTGGACCTGCTCTTGTTCTGCGTGGCAGCCTCAGCCCCCACCCCCATCCCTAGCAAGAGGCACAGGCTCCTGGGACAGCCCTTCCTGTGTCTCCTTCCTCAATGTGGGTGATGGTGTCCCCACATCCCAGAATCAGGAGTGGCAGCAGCTGGAAGCCCCCTCCCCTGGAGCTGGCTCTCTACTCTCTTCCTTGTGGCCCCCCTGCCCCTCCTGTGCCCAAGATGATCGATTGCCCAGATGTTGTTTGTGCTGGAGACAGGACAGATGCCAGAAACAGAGACAGGAGATATGGAAAGGGAAGGGGAGAGAGGGAAAAAGATGGGGAGAGAAGAGTGCAGATAGCGTGGGGCAATGGAGGGAGACAGAGGACAGCAGGACAGGCAGACCAACAGGTGCAGAGACGAAAAGAGGAGTTGCAGAGTGACAGGGACCAGATGCAGAGGGAGGTGAGCGAGATATTGAGAGGCATTCATAGAGATTCCTAGGTGGAGAGCCGGGGCAGAGCGAGGGTGGGCCTGGTGTTCAGTGCGGGGCAGCACAGCCCTTCCCCTGCAGCTAGCTGTTTCTCAATCACACAGAGGAGTGGCAGGGGTGGGGGGGCTCCCAGGGAATTTGAACCCCAGGAAGCCTCACCCTTGTGGCCTCTCAGGTGCGCCCCCTGTGGATGTGCTCCGGGCCCTGAGGTTCCCCTCCCTCCCTGATGGTGTCCGGAAGGCCAGAGGGGTCTGTCCAGCTGATGTGGCCTACCGCGTGTCCAGGCCCGCCCAGCTCAGTGCACCCACCCGCCAGCTCTTCCCAGGTATGCCTGTCAGGATGGGGGGGGGTCCGGTGGGGCGGAACCTGGGGGTCACATGGGAGGCATATGTCTTTCTGGGCCTCTCACTGTCTGCTGTGTCTCTCTCCGGAACCAGGAGGCTTTCCCAAAGATTTTTCTCTGCTGACTGTTGTCCGGACCCGGCCTGGCCTCCAGGGGCCCCTCCTGACTCTCTACAGTGCCCAGGGTGTCCAGCAGCTGGGCCTGGAGTTGGGTCGACCTGTCCGCTTCCTCTACGTGGACCAGACTGGACGGCCTCGGCCCCCAGCTCAGCCGGTTTTCCGAGGCCTGAGCCTCGCGGATGGCAAGTGAGTCTGTCCACCTCGTGGGCATGCTTGACCTGCATTCTTAGGAGAAAAGGGTCCCGGGAGCCCCAGTCCCTAAACTGGGAAGCCCTGCGACCCTTTTAACCATGTAACACATGTGCCAGCAAGGCTAGTTTGGGCTTTGGAGTTTGTATTCTCATTCTGTGTGTCACACTGGCCTCTACCACAGGCAGATTCCTTAAGATTTCTGAGCTTCACTTTCTAGGGCTATAAAATCGAAATAACAGAGTAGAATAAGGACATCGCCTGCGTGGTGCCTGGGCACAGTGCACGGTGGCTGCTGTGACTGCCACTGTATTACTGGCTTTAGCTCTTCCCTTAGCTGCCACCAGGCCTGCTGATGCCCCCTTTCCAGTCAGTCACTTGAACCTTGCCCTGCCCACAACCAGGTGGCACCGAGTGGCTGTGGCTGTGAAGGGCCAGTCTGTCACCCTCATTGTTGACTGCAAGAAGCGAGTCACCCGGCCCCTTCCCCGAAGTGCTCGTCCTGTGTTGGACACCCGCGGCGTGGTGATCTTTGGGGCCCGTATCCTAGATGAAGAAGTCTTTGAGGTAAGCAGAGAAATCTGGGAAAGAATCAGTTCCTGGCCCTGTGTCCTGTGCCCAGTGCCCCCTGGCTTCTTCGCTTCATCTTCCCCTTCCCCAAGCCTTCATTTCTCCTACAGATTTTTGTTTCTACTTCCCATTTTTAGGGCTAACGTTTTCTGTGCAAGAGCCTGTTGTCCACCTGTAGAGATGGACTGTCCCCAGCCACTTCTCTGTCATTTAGTCTTCACCCACCCACCTATCTCTCCAGCCAGTCTTCTCGCCTGCTGACTCAGTCACCTGTCACCCGCTGGTCCACACAGGCTCGCATCTCCACCTGTCACCCACCCACTTACACAGCTCCTCACCTATTCATGCATTTAGGATAGTATCTACCCACGTGGCCATCCTCCCTTACTCAACCAGTCCCTGCTTCAGATTATACATTCATCCATCGGTCTGCGCATTCTCTTCAACCCACCCACCCATCGGTTCACTCGGTCACCTACCTCTCCTCTCCGTTTGCACATGTGTGCATCCATGTATCCACCCAACCACCTGACTTCTACCCACCCTCCCTCCCTTCATGCGGTGCACTAGCTCACCCACCCCTCACCTACCCACTCCCATACAGCCATTCATTCATGCATATATTAAATTCCATCCCCCTGGCTGCCCACCAATCTGCATCTGTCTACTCTGGGACTTCCATGCATTTACCCACCAATCTACCATTACATTCATTCATTCATTCATTCATTCATTCATTCATTCATTCATTCCTTATCAGCACCCCAGTTCAGCTGTGTATTGCACCCCTGCACTTGTCCACCTGTAGAGATGGACCATCACCCTAAGCAACCAGACTGCAATCCAGTAGGTTCCCAGCCACCTACTTATCCATCTGTCTGTCCTTTCTCCTAGCCAGCCAGTCAACTGTTTCTAACTACCCAATGACCAGGACAATAATATAAGGTTTCTGTCATCCCGAGGAATTCCTAGACTGGCTTTGGAGATGAGACAATGTCCCCCCAATGCAGTGTAAGGCCAGGTATCTAAGCACCAACTGTGGGCACAGGTAAAGGGTGCAGGAATTCAGAAAATGGTCCTCCTTCCCCATGTCTAGAGGACCTGCAAATTCCCGCCATCACAGCTATTGTGAAGCCAGGGCACATGAGGCTGGGCCTCTGTCTTCAGGAGCCATTGTAAAAAGTCTCTTGCATTAAACTGGGGCCCAGAAGTAGGCAGTTGTTGAACTTAGTATTGGAGGGCGTAGGGCCGGTGGGATACCGTAGTGGAGCAAGTGCCTGTGTGGGCAAGCTTGGGGACTGGGTTTGATCCCGGCCCCATGTGCTGCGCTGGCCTGCCCCAGGCTTGCTGAGCCAGCCACCCAGTCCAGGCGTGGTGGCACACATCTGTAATCCCAGCACTAGGGAGGCTGAAGACAGGAGGACCACTGAGTCAGAGCTGTGTAGTGAGACCCTGTAACAAATATGTATTTAAGAAAGAAAGAAAGAAAAGTAAAGAAATCGGAAGGCCTGAGCCCTGGCCCTCATTCGCCACTCTGCGTGGCCTTGGGCCAGCAATCTGATTCAGAATGGAATGAGTCTAAAAATGGATAAAAAGATCCTTGTTCTACTGACTTTCCCAGGGGTCGTGAAGGTTGCACAAACTCCTTTGACCCTTACGAATGCTGGGCACACGGAGGGCTGGCAGTGACCTCCTGACACACAGCTCTGCCTGGGGTCGGCCTTCCTGCAGGCATCCTGGACTCATGCCCGCTCATCCTTAGTCCTCTCCTCACGTCTTGGCAGGGCGATGTCCAGGAGCTTGTCGTTGTTCCTGGAGTCCAAGCTGCCTACGAGTCCTGTGAACAGAAGGACGTGGAGTGTGAGGGGAGCCAGAGGGAGAGGCCCCAGAACAGGCAGCTTCACAGAGCCCAGCGGTCGCCGAAGCAGAAGCCCTCAAGACTTCACAGGCCGCAGAACCAGGAGCCCCAGCGCCAGGTGAGGGGGTTGGGCAGGCTCACAGCCGCAGCGTAGGCAGGCGGGGGAGGGAAGACCCCCAGGCCTCTCCCCAGGACGGCCTCGTGTCCAGGGCTCCCTTCCCACTGTGGCTCCCGTTCTCCTCTCCCCAACCACACCCCTCCCCCTCCCAGTCCTCATTCATCAACCTTTTTATTTTCATTTAAAAATAAAAAGTTGTTATGAAGACCTTGTGGCTGGGAGCTGTGTTCCCTGCTGGTGTCTCATCCTCTGCCAGTCTTCCTGGAACTGTGTCCCATGCCTTTCTTGAATTAAGAGATTGGGTGACAGTGGGGCAGGGGTGAGCCTCAGGGAAGGAGGTGGGAGACCAGAGTAGGGGAGAAGGGAGGAGGTGGGGGCAGGTGGGGGAGGGGCAACGGTTCAGGGCACCCCAGTCTGGGGATCCGCGGTGGCCCCTCCTGTGTGGAGGTGGGAAGGGAGACTGGATTGCAGCCTGGGTGCTTAGGGCGGGAGAAGAGCTGGGTCATGGTCTGAGGTCTGAAGGGTCAATCTCTTAATCATGTCTGCTTCTGTCCCCCCGGGTGGGCCCCACTCTCTCCTGCCCGCCCCTCCCCTCCTTGCCTCAACCTCTCCTTTTGTCTTCAATTCCCTGTTTCTTGACTCCATGTCTTCCCTGTCTCCCAACCCCCACACCATCTCTGTCTCCCTCTCCCTACCCCCAATGACCCCACCCCTCCTGCCCAACCTCCTACCCCAGTCCCAGCCCTCTGAGTCCCTCTACTATGACTACGAGCCTCCCTATTACGATGAGATGACCACGGGGACAACCCCTGATTATCAGGTAAACTCGAGGGATCCCCTGTCTTCCCCGCATTCCTGTCTCCCTGGCCGTCCTTTTTCCCTCCCAGATTCTGGGGAAAGACACCCTCTATTAGAGTTTGAAGGTTTACTTACTGCCCCTCCCCTATCTCTCTGCTGCAGAGGCCTCAGAGCCCCAACCGCAGGGCTCCCCCTCCCCCTAGGGGGCTTCGGACCCCTCCCCGAAAGCCTAACTCACCTGCCAAGAGGTCGGCTGCCCGGCAGGCGCCCCCCTCACCAGGCCGGAGGCCCAGCCAGCCTCCCCCCTCCCGACCAGCTCGGCAGGCAGCTCCCCCAACTGCCCGGGCCCCCCTCAGGACCAGAGGCAGCGGCTACCGGCAGGTAGAGCTGGGGCATCCAGATCTCTGCCCCCGAAACTTGATCTCGGAGATTCATTCTCCTCTAACTGTCCCCCTTCCACAGGGGTTGCAAGATCTGTGATTTCCCCCACCCCCAGCGTAGACAGATGCTGCCTGCGAGGGGCGCGGGGCGGGACAGGGCTGCTTTGCCTCCCTCTGCTCACCTCTCACCTTCTTTTCCACCTCTGTTCCTCCTCTCTCCCTCTCTCTGGGGTTAGTACCCCGCTCCCGGTGAAGAGGAAGGAGCTCTGGAGTCAAGCCCCCTGCCACTCCCCGAGGAGGTAACTCCACCCAGCCTCATCCCAGCAGGGCCATCGGGCATCTGAGACCCCTCGCCCTGTGTCATCTTGATGAACTGGTCCCATCTCTGGCTGGAGGGCTTGTCCCTTCCATGTGACCTTCTGTCTTCTGGTCCTGTCGTAGCATGGTTCTCTAAGCACAGCCGCTTCCTTTGCGGTCCATGCCACCTTTGTGATGCTTGATTCCTGAGGAGCCTCTTCCCAATGTTGGCATCGAGTGGTCCTACTTTCTGCTCCTGTTTTCCTTCCAGGAGCCATTTCCTGCACGCTGTCACTGGTTTCTTCTCCCAGTCTCCTCTTCCCCCCATTTTTTTTCGTCCTGTCTGTCTTTCTTTCAGACTCCCTGGACTCCGTGTCTTGCATATGTCCAGGGACTGTCCCCTTTGCATCCAGCCCTCCAGCCAGCCTTCTTGTCACTCGCCATTTCCCTGCCAGGTCCATTTTCTGGACATCTCTCCCGTTCTTGGCCTGATGCTCGTCCTCTTCCTGTATGGCCTGTCCCCTTGTTCTTCTTGGGGAGGAAATTTCCAACCCCAGTTACCCTCAGGATCCTTTGGGCTAGAAGGTTTCAAATGTGGGGGTTCGAGGACAACCTCCCATCAGCCCTAATGCCCCCGTCCACCCCTTCTCCCTCCCCACCCCTGGGAAGGAGCAGACAGATCTCCAGGTCCTCCCCACAGCCGACAGGTTCCTGGCACAGGAGTATGGGGAGGGAGGCACAGACCCCCCAGCAGGGCTCTACGATTACACCTATGGCTATGGGGATGATTATCGTGAGGAGACGGAGCTTGGCCCTGCACTCTCTGCGGAGACAGCCCCCTCAGGAGCCGTAAGTGATGACGGGAGCCCTTCGTTCATTCTTGACCTCCAGTGGGAGCTACAAGAATTGCTTCCTGTTGTTTTTGTCCTTGTTGGCTGTGAGCTACTTCCCACTGGTGGTGGTTTGCCATTTCTGTGTACAGAAGATGTCTCTGTTGCTTGAAAAGATTGCTTTCTGCCTTCCTTTGCCCAGTGTCTCCCCCTGTGTCTCCCCGTGGAGCCCTTTGCCTGTGACACTTGAGATTTTCTTTGTAATTCTCTGGCCACTGTCTGTCTTTCCTGGCCATCTCCTGTCTAAACCGAGCTGGAGTTCACGAAGCTTTTGGTCAATAAGCAACTACCTTGTATCTGTTTTCAGTCTGTTTCCATCAGTTCTTCTTGATCAAAAGAATTTCTTGTCCATGATGCTGCCAAATGTCCTGAGTTCCTGCGTCCCATTTTCTAACCTGTCGGCTCCTTCTTATCTGCCTGTCTCTTCCTGTCTTCTCTAGCCATGGCAGCCGTCTTTGGTGACGATCTCAGGCTGGACTGGAAGAGCTTTATGATTTGTGCTCTGATTCTGGTTTTTCATACTGTCTTGTGACAGTTGCGATTGGCAACAAGACCTTTTCTGTGTCTCAGATTGTCCAACCACAAAGTTTCCATTCTGGACCTAGATACTGATCATGGCTATTTCCTGTCTGTTCTAGCCTTGATATTTGTGTTTTTGTCCCTGAAAGAACTGCTTTTCACTGTCAAAGTCCATTTATGGGAGTCGCTTTTAATCTGTCTTGCGGATCTTTCCTCTCTCTTGGTCATGGTCGCCATATTGTTGTTGAAAGTCCACTTCCTGGGTCCTCTTTTCTTGGCTGCTTCCTGTCTGTCTAACCATTTCCTGTTTGTCCGGGTTGTGTTCTAGCCATCTTGGCTATGTTTAATTTTTCTTGGCCCTGGCCTCATTCTTGCTTCCAAGCATGTGTCCCTTGTTTTGCGTCCCTTGGTAGTTTCTTGTGTCTTCAAGCACTCCCTGTCAGTTGGAGTATTTCCTGTCTACTTCACTTCATCTGTTGCCAGCCTAGCGGTGATGGCTGCCTCTTCTCCCCTGCTGCCTTATCCCAGCCTCCCTTCTCTAATACACCAACCCTAACCCTCTGCTGCCTTTCCTGTATGCCGCTTCCTGGGGGCTTAGGGTTGGTCTGGGATTTGGGAGAGGTGGGGACCGGTCATTGCTATTGGGGCAGGGTGGAGGTGGAGGGGGTATTCTGAAGATCCTTGTTGGGCAGGCTGCACGTGGTGTTACGTGTCTTCCATTCTCCCTGTCCTTGGCTTACTTCTGGGCCCAGAGTGTGGAGTAGACATTTGAGCGGAAGTGATCAAGCAGGAGGGGGCTTGGTGGGAGGAAAAGTGAGAGAGAAAGCAGAAGCAACCTTCCTGGGAAGGGACCGAGGGTCTGCTCTGAGCCTTGGCCACATGAGCCCAAGGGCTGTATTTTTCCAAAAGCCAATTTTGAGGCCTGAGTTTGGAGTACCAGTTGGATTGTGCTCCAGATCTACTTAAGATTTGGATGTCTTGGGGGTAGTGTGTCATTTTGTGAATCCTTTGACATGCTAAGTAAAATTCTGTGTGCTAGGGGATATACTTTTCATTTTCTAGGGAAAGGCTCATAGCTTTCTTCATATTCTTATATAGGTCCAGGCCTTACCCTCATCCTCAAATAAAAATCTTTTCATCATCTCAGAGAGATTCTTATTTGATGGCTGGAGGAAGGGTGAGGAAGCAGAGGGTGTCTTGGGGTTCTAAGAATTCCCCGTGTGAGAGGCAGCTTTGGGGGCAGTGTGAGGTCCTGCAGAAGGGGTTTGGGAGGGTGGGGCTGGGAAGTCCGGTCAAGGAGACCAAGTTGTGTTTGCTGAGGTGTGGCTGGGAACCAGCTGTGTGTTGAGGGGAACCCGTAGGCCTTTTTGGCAGGCCTGGGAAGTCTGTGAGGAGGCGCTTTCGAGAAGGGATAGGAAATTTGAAAGCAGGTCAGCGAGGTTTCTGAAGGCCCGGAGGATGAAGACTGGAATTGAGATGGGGCAGTCCTGGTGTTCCGGCTGCTCATGGGCCCCGCTGGGGGTTACATGTGTGTCTCCCTCAGGTTGCCCATGGACCCCGGGGGCTGAAGGGAGAGAAGGGAGAGCCTGCGGTGCTGGAACCTGTGAGTTACAGCTGTCATTGAGCTGATGGGGGCGGGAAGAAGAGAAGAAGGCAGGGGAGGGATGCTTGTCTTGTGGTCCCTGACTGTTAACCTCTAACTCCTCAGGGTATGTTTGTGGAGGGACCTCCTGGCCCAGAAGGCCCTGCGGTGAGTGTGGCTGTGATCTTGGCCTCCATTCTCTGCCTGAAGACTTTCTGCAGGCTCTTCTGTGCTTTGCCTGAGTATGGCCTGGCCTCCTTTTCAGAGAATCCAAGTTCTCCTGTGCCCAGGTCTCTTCTGCAGACAATGGCCCTCTTCTGCCTGATGCCCACACCTAACTCCCTATTCTTTTGTTCCTCAGGGGATGGCTGGCCCCCCTGGAATCCAGGGGAACCCAGGCCCGGTTGGAGACCCTGGCGAGAGGGTAAGGGAGTGTTCTGGTGTGGGGGCAGGGAAGGGGGCCAGTGAGCCATTTGTACCTGTGTGTTACCTTGCAGTAATTCCTTGTCAGCTGACTGACTGAATGGGTGGTTGTGCTCCCCTGGTACCCAGAAAGGCGGGCATGCTCCCGCTGGGAAGGGGAGTAGCCCACCAGCTCACCTGCCTGCTTCTCCGTAGGGTGGAGGAGAGCTAGGGAAGTCTGCATTTATTCTGTTGTGCAGTGATTCAGAACGAGGCCAAGGCCCCATGACCTCTTCCTGAAATAAAGTTGCCCATGCCCTCTCGTTCTTTCCCATTCCAGGGCCCCCCTGGCCGAGCAGGGCTCCCCGGATCAGATGGGGCCCCTGGCCCTCCCGGCACCTCCCTCATGCTCCCAGTGAGTTGTCTCGCGAGCTTTGGGGGTATAGATGGGGAGAGCAGGGCTTGCACTGTGCCTCTGCGGAGCAGAGAGGCAGTGCTCCTGGGGGGGAGTGTCGGGAGAGGATCCGTCCACGGGGAGTGATCTCTCTTTATTTTTTTTTTTTTTTTTTTTTTTTTTTTTTTTTTTTTTTTCTGAGAGTGATCTTCGGGGTTCGAGGGTTCAGGTTCGTTAGATGACTGAGCAGCGAGCATGATCTTCTAGGACCCGGCTCGAATCATTTTAGAACCAGGCAGGAAGTGCTGAATTTCAGAGAGGTCTAGAGCCAAGGGCACCTTCTGCGGGAAAAGGCAGGAAATGGGGAGGCGGACAGGAGTTGAGGCTCTGCACACCCGCTAGCAGCTATCTGGAGCTCATGGGAGATGCCAGAGGAGGGCTGTGGGGTGTCCTAGAACTTGGGGGCAGGTGCCCCGGAGGGAGGAGGCCTCTGGCTGGGAAGGTCCTGGGGATTCCCCGGATGTGAACCTGGACCTTTTCGTCTTGGCCCTCAGTTCCGGTTTGGCAGCAGTGGGGGTGACAAGGGCCCCGTGGTGGCCGCGCAGGAGGCTCAGGCCCAGGCGATTCTGCAGCAGGCGCGGGTGAGGAGGACTGAGGGGAGGGGGTGCTGCAAGGGGGGCTGCACGAAAGGAGACCAGGGAAGGTCAGAGCAGCGTGGGCCTGAGGAGGGTGGGGGGAGTGTGAGTTGGGGGGTCGGGGTGGCAGGCGAATTTGGGGCTCTGCAGAGGTTCTCCAGCTGCCTCCTCAGCCGTGCCATTCCTCACTCCCCCAGCTGGCACTCCGAGGACCCCCAGGCCCGATGGGATACACAGGCCGTCCTGGACCCTTGGTAAGTGAGGGGGGTGTTAACGTTTCCTTTATTTGTGTGCTGAGGTATGGATAATTTTGGAAAGAACCATGTTGGAAGTTGTCTTGCTTCTTTGGGGAAGGGCTCTGAAGTCACTCTGGGGAATGTCCTCCAACACGGCCGCCTTCCCTTCTTGTCTTCAGGGGCAGCCCGGGAGCCCTGGCTTGAAAGGAGAATCGGGAGACCTAGGGCCTCAGGTAATGGCTCCTCACCTGATGCCTAGCCCATGGGCCCCCCATCACTGCACGTTAACCCTTTTTCTGTCTCTGTCTTCACCAGGGCCCCAGAGGACCTCAGGGTCTCGCGGGCCCTCCTGGCAAAGCTGGGCGGAGGGTGAGTAGCCAGGGCCCGGCCGGGTGTTGGTGGGAGATGGGGCTTGGAGGCTGGAGGATGGTGTCCCTACTGCTCTGATGACACCTTGTACCTCCAGGGCCGAGCGGGTGCCGATGGAGCCCGAGGGATGCCGGGGGAACCTGGAGTGAAGGTAACAGGCGTGGACCCCTCTGTATCCATAGTTCAGGACTCCCTAGTTCTCCATGTGCACCCAGGGTGCAGCCCCTCCTGCTCCAGATACAGTAAGGAGCAGTGTCTGGGAAGCCCCCTTACTCTGGCTGTCCCTCTTCTTCCTAGGGTGATCGAGGTTTTGATGGTCTCCCAGGTCTACCTGGGGAGAAAGGACACAGGGTAAGTATACTGGGGGTGGGTTGGCTCCTGTGATGGGGTAGAGCTGTGGGGGGCTGGTGGGGATCTCTGCGTAAGGAGTTTGGGAACCCAGTGGAAGCCCCTGAATGTAATCAGCTGGCTAGTAAAGAGGGTTCAGAGTCTACAAGTGTTGGGGCTCGGAGGCTCCTTGTAATGGTTCCACGTTTTCAGGGTGATACTGGTGCCCAGGGCCTTCCCGGGCCCCCTGGTGAAGATGGAGAGCGGGTAAGTGTCATGGCAAGGGCAGGGGTTGGGGACAGGAGAAGTCCAGGAGGCGAGGCTGATGTAATTTGTCCTCCTGCAGGGAGATGATGGGGAGATCGGGCCCCGCGGGCTGCCTGGAGAGTCGGTGAGTGTGTGTGGGATCTGGCTGGGGTGGGGGCTCCTGGGAAACCAGGGCAGGGGCTTGTATGCAAAAGGGACACATTGTTTCTCTGCTTGTATGATGTCTCCTCTCCCAACCTTGAATGCAGGGACCGCGAGGACTCCTTGGTCCGAAAGGCCCCCCTGGTATCCCTGGGCCCCCGGTGAGTGGCTCCCTGACTTCTCTGACTCTGCACCCTTCCTAACTGCCTCCACCCCTGCCCCCCCAGCTCTCCTACTCTCCCACCTGTCCCCACTCCGGGTGTCACCCTCAGGAGCATTTGGAGGGTCACAGGGCTCAGTGTACCTAGGGCAGGGCTCTGAGCACAGCCAGAGCAGGACAAAAACCCAGAGGCAAAATGAAACAAAGCCTCAGACCGCTACCCCCAGGCACCCAGGCTGGTGCTGCACACAGGGGTGGCTGTGCTCCCTTCAGGCGCCCCGCAGTGCGGAGGCCTCGCTGCCCCTGGAGCCGCAGCCCCTGCAGACAGAGTTACCTTCCAGCCCGCTCATACCCTTCCCGTGTTTCAGGGAGTCCGAGGCATGGATGGACCCCATGGTCCCAAAGGGAGCTTGGTGAGTGGGAGACGGGTGTGGGGGCCCAGCCCCTGAGCCCCAGGGTGCCCGCTGGGTCCTGCCCACCCCCCTGCCTGCTGCCTGCTCCTGCCCTCCTGGCGGCTACCACAGCTCTGCCCTTTTTGCTTTGTCCCCATCTTCTGACTCCAAACTGGCTGCCCATTTCTAGGGACCCCAGGGAGAGCCAGGACCTCCTGGACAGCAGGGCACTCCTGGGACCCAGGTAAGTGGTGCCCCGTACCCCTGTGTCATGGTGATGCCCCTTGGGGTGCACCTTGGCTCAAACTCCAGGTGGGGACAAAGCCGAGGGGCTCCAGGCCGCTTGCTCATGTCCTGAGTGGGAAGGCTGAGGGTGGCTGGAGGGAGCAGCCCAAGCTGTGGGTCGCCCGTGACCTCCCTCTCCCTGTGTGTAGGGGCTCCCCGGTCCTCAGGGTGCCATCGGCCCTCATGGTGAGAAGGTGAGTGGCCAAGGGATTTGGAGGGCAGGGACTCTGGGGGAGTGGGCAGGCGGGCTTGAGTTACGGACTGGGCCTTCATTGAGTTAGGTCGAGCCCTCTAGCCACCCTGAATGTGCTCGTTCTCCTGCAGGGCCCTCGAGGGAAACCAGGGCTCCCTGGCATGCCTGGCACAGATGGTCTCCCGGTGAGTAGGCCCCCTGCAAGCCCACGGCTCCTGTGGTGCCACAGCTCCCAGCTCCTTCAGTGACTGCGAGCTGATGTGCCATGCTGGCGGTCATGGTGGTGCCCGTGGTTGCTGGCCTCGTGAGGTCACGGGGGTCTGGGCGGGAAGCAGTGGAGGGCGAGGTGCAGGAGACGGGAGCAGCAGGCACATGTGTGTCTCCCACCCCTAGGGCCACCCTGGGAAGGAAGGTCCTCCTGGAACCAAAGGAAACCAGGTGAGCTCTTGCCCGCCTCCTGTTACCTCCTGAAGGGGCCCCCGTGCAACTCTGGGGCTCCTACTCTTGGGTCCTTGATCCTGATGTTTCTTCCGTTCCCATGTCCTGTCGCCCCGTTCAGACTCTAGCATTGCGGTATTCTCATTTCTCTTGTCTCCTGGTGACCCAAAAGTAACACCCTGGAGACTCTATAAGTGCCTCTCTTTCTTCTTGCAGGGCCCATCTGGACCTCAGGGTCCTTTAGGATACCCAGGACCTCGAGGTGTCAAGGTAACTGGCCGGGGCGGAGCCGGACTGGGGTCTTGAGAGCCTAGCCTTCCAACATAGCCCACCCAAGTGCCACATTTCTGCTCTCCCCTGATTCTAGGGTGTGGATGGAATTCGGGGTCTGAAGGGTCACAAAGGTGAAAAGGTGAGCACTGCGCCCCGGCTTCGTGACCCCCACCCTGCTCCGCGCTCAGCCTGCTCACAAGGCTGCAGACCCGAAGCCCGCCCTACTGCCTGTGTTCTCCAAACGCCCCACCTTAGCCCCCCAACCTGCCCCTCCGGCTGTGCTCTCACCTCCATCTTTCTCAGGGCGAGGATGGCTTTCCCGGGTTCAAAGGTGACATAGGCGTGAAAGGTGACAGGGTGAGTAGAAGCCCCCACCGGCCCCTCACTCTGCGTCCTCCCCGTGCTCCTCCACTTGGGAGCCTGCAGCCACAGCCTGCTCTTGAGACCCTGAGGTCCAGGCCCCAGCGCTGTGGCCCCTTTGATGTCCTATCCTGGCTGTGTTTCCCCACCATGCTCTCTGCCGTCCTGGCCTCCAGTCCCAAGCTTCCTACCCTGAGGGCCCCCTGGCCCAGGGTAGCTTCTGGGGCCCCAACCCTCCCCACTGGAGCCCAGGTCTCCTCCAGTCCCTGACACCTGCCTCCCTGACACTCCTAGGGCGAGGTTGGAGTTCCTGGTTCCCGGGGAGAAGATGGTCCTGAGGGGCCGAAAGGACGCACAGGACCCACCGGAGACCCTGGGCCTCCCGGGCTCCTGGGCGAGAAGGTGATGGGGATGAGGGATCTGCACCTGGGGTCTCGGGGGTGTAGGAGGCAGGGGCCTGGGCATAGGGCAGGAGGGCTCAGGGATGGCAACCACAGGAATCAGTGGAGTTCGGCCTTGCACTGTGGCCCTGTGTGTGGTGCCTCCTGGGAGCTGATGGGTTGGTGATGCGGGAGAGGTCCAGCTTCTCACCATGAGCTCCTGGCCTGGAGCACTGAGGAGGGGTGCATGGGGTGAAGCCGGGTGGCTACTGCCTGAGCAAAGCGCGGGACTGTGAGAACCCATGTCTTGGGGTGCTGGGGAGACCGGGTTGAGGTTGGCAGGTGGGCAGCCGCTCACATCCCGGACTTTAGCAGACTGATCAGAGACAGCAGGGAGGCACCAGATGGGGGGAAATCTGCTCTTGGGAAGAAAGGCCACGAGTCAGGCAGCCGCAGATGAGGGGCCGTGGGCTGGGGTCAGGGGTCAGGGCCAGCGCCGCTGCTGGGACTGGCCCTCATCTCCTGGGATGCTTGGTGTTTATGGCTTCTTTGCCCTTCCACAGGGCAAGCTAGGTGTTCCTGGCCTACCTGGCTACCCTGGACGCCAGGGTCCCAAGGTGACGTGATGCCCAGATTGTGTCCCTCCACCCTTCCCATCCCCATCCCTGAGTCCAGGAGGCATGGGGTGGCAGAGCCTGGGTACCCTAATGATTTGGGTGGCACCCATTCTTTGGATGTGAAAATGGAGGGGGGACCCTCACACTTGGCAGATGGCTTCCCCTGGTTCCACCGGCCCATCCTGAGCCCCCTCACCTCTCTTGACTTCTCACTTCCCTTCTCTATCTCACCAGGGATCCCTGGGATTTCCTGGTTTCCCTGGAGCCAGTGGGGAGAAAGGAGCCCGAGTAAGCTGGGAAGGGAGTGGGTATCGAGGGAGGGGCTGGCGGGAGTTGGAGGGGGCCCATGAGGGGTCCCCCCGGTGACTTTCTCTCCATTCCCACCAGGGTCTGTCAGGGAAAGCAGGACCTCGGGGCGAGCGAGGCCCCACGGTGAGTGCAGGGGAGGGAGGCGTGCTCTGTGGCTCCGCAGGGTGCACTTGGGTGTCTCTGACCCCTGTCCTCTGCTCTGCCCAGGGCCCACGGGGCCAGCGGGGACCCCGAGGAGCCACCGGCAAGTCTGGAGCTAAGGTGAGTGGGCTCTGCAGGGCTCCACCACCCTCACCCACCGAGCACCAGCTCCTCACCCCTCCTCTCCCCGGGGCTGCAGCAAGCCGCTCCTTTCATTGCCTGACTCTGGTTTCCCCAGGGAACGTCAGGAGGTGATGGCCCCCATGGGCCCCCTGGAGAGAGGGTGAGTGTGGCCAGAGCTCCCGCTGCCCGCTGCCCTGATGCTGGGAGCTGTGCTCCCCTGGTGGTGCTGTCCTTCCTTCTCTGATTCTGCCCCTCTGTCTCTAGGGCCTCCCTGGACCTCAGGGCCCCAATGGATTTCCAGGGCCCAAAGGCCCCCCGGTAAGCTGACACTGATGTTGACCCACCTTGGTCTCTCGGTCCTTCTTTCCCACACCCCTGCCCAGTCCAAGACTCACCTGATATCTGACCCCCTTCCAGGGTCCCCCCGGGAAGGATGGGTTGCCTGGACACCCAGGCCAGAGAGGAGAAGTGGTAAGTAGTGCTCTGGCTGTCCAGTCCCAGGTGGCCCTCACACCAAAGCTGTCGGGAAGGCCATGGGGCTCCAGGCAGTAAGCAGGTCCTGCTGCTGCTCACGGCCAGCTGGGCCGTGCACCCCGCTGGGGCCTCGGGTCAGCCCCCCTCTGCACCTGCTCTGATCCTCTCTCTCCTCTCAGGGCTTCCAAGGGAAGACGGGCCCTCCTGGCCCCCCTGGCGTGGTGGGACCCCAGGTAGGTCTGCCTGCAGGAGAATGGACGCCAACGTTGGAGTCAGCCTGTCTGCGCCTGTCCTCTCAGGCAGACATGCCTGGCCCTGGTTTGCCTGCCCAGACCCTTGGGGGCTGAGTCTTGAGCTTCAGATGTGCTGGGTCGCCTTCCTCATTTGGGAGGAGGCAGTTCCCCAGAAGCGACGCAAGGTGGCGCAGTTGCTCCACACGGGGGAAGGCAAAGGCCAGCTGGGCCCTGGGAGCCCAAGAATGTCCTGGTAGCTCTGGGCAGGAGTACGGGGCTCTACAGGGACATTTTAGGTGGACAGGGTGGACCTGTTAATGGGGACTCGGCTCCTTTTCCAGGGAGCAGCAGGAGAAAGCGGTCCCATGGGGGAGAGAGGTCACCCAGGCCCCCCAGGCCCTCCTGGAGAGCAGGGACTGCCTGGAACAGCTGGAAAAGAAGGAACAAAGGTCAGTGAGGGACCCGCAGCAGGAACTTTGGGGGCTTGGGGTCGGGGTGCTGAAAGGGACGGGCAGTGGTATTTGCAGGCACCAGAGGTTTCTTTGTCCGATTTAGGACATGGCTGTAGCTCATGACCTTTTCTGTCCTTTCAGGGTGACCCTGGCCCCCCTGGGGCTCCAGGGAAAGATGGCCCAGCTGGTTTGAGGGGCTTCCCAGGGGAGAGAGGCCTCCCAGGCACTGCTGTGAGTGTGGCCTCACAGCCAAGGGCCAGTCACAAGTCATCCTGCATCCTGCCCTCCTCCCCCCCATCTCCCTGCGCTCGGCTTCCTCCACGACCCCCACCCTTCCTGGCATGTGTCCTAGCAGGCTGCTCCTCCTGGTCCCCTGGAGGGTCCCACCTTCCCGTCTCACCTGTTGCCCCAAATCTGTGCTTACAGGGTGGACCTGGCTTGAAGGGGAATGAAGGTCCAGCTGGTCCTCCTGGCCCTGCAGTGAGTCTGGGGTCCTGGGGTGGCCTGGGAAAGGGCTGGATGAGTCAAGGTGGGGACCAGTGTCTGACAGGACCATGGGACTGGGCCATCCGGAATCCATTCCACTTTCATTACTTCTTCTGGTCAGGGATCCTTTGGTTTGGGTGGGCTGGGATCTCCTTCCTGGGGGCCTAACTCAGTCTCCTCATTTAGGGCTCCCCTGGAGAACGAGGTGCAGCAGGATCAGGGGGACCCATAGGTCCCCCAGGGCGCCCAGGCCCACAGGGTCCCCCAGGAGCAGCAGGCGAGAAAGGCGTCCCGGTGAGTGTGGAAGACTCCCGTGGGAGTCCGTGTGCTGAGGGGTGGTGGCTGTGGAGGTCTCCTGCAGCGGTGTTTGAGGGTGCGGGTCACCTCCAGGCCACAACTCCTTCCTTCCTTTCCCTCAGGGTGAGAAGGGTCCTATTGGTCCCACTGGCCGCGATGGAGTGCAGGGTCCTGTGGGACTTCCTGGCCCTGCTGGGCCCCCTGGCGTGGCTGGAGAAGATGGTGACAAGGTAAGGGAACCCACAGACCTGGCTGCTCACCTCTCCCAATGAGCCAGCTGATGTGGGCGCGACCTCCTCACCCCGTCTTGTCTCCTGCTCCTCTCCCCTCTCCTCTCCCTAACATCTCACCTGCCTTCTCCACCCAGGGTGAGGTGGGAGACCCTGGACAGAAGGGCACCAAAGGGAACAAGGGTGAACACGTAAGTGCCCGTGACCTTCCAGTATGCGTGTGCGCCTGCATGCGTGTGGGTGTGCACACGCTGGGGATCTACCACAGGCCGCTGAGTGCTCTCCCACTGAGCCACCTCCCCAGCCCAAGACACTGACCCCCTGCCCTTTGACCCCCCACCCCGTGTCCACTTCCTGTACTGGAGCCTCTGACTCTTCTTTCTCCCCCAGGGCCCTCCTGGCCCTCCTGGACCCATTGGTCCTGTGGGGCAGCCTGGAGCCGCGGTGAGTGCCCCTCCATCCCCTCCCGAGTCCCTAGGGGTTTCTAAGCTGCCCTTGGTTCCCCTCTGTCCTTGGGGTTGGGCATGGTGTCCACTGTGTGTGGGGTTTGTGGATTGAGAACTCCTGACCTGTCTGTGTCCTTGTCTCTGTCCCCAACCCAGGGAGCTGATGGGGAGCCTGGAGCGCGAGGTCCCCAGGGACACTTTGGAGCTAAAGGTGATGAAGGCACAAGAGGATTTAATGGACCCCCAGGACCCATCGGCCTACAGGCGAGCTGGGGCTTGGGCACAGAGGCAGAGGGGGCGGGTCAGCAGGGCTGTTTCCCCGAGGGGGGGACTAGGGTGCTGATGGGGACTAGGGTGGGGGCAGCCAGCTGGTGAGGCAGGTAGAACCCCAGGGAGTGGTCTGTGGGGGCAATTTGCCTGGGGCCATGCTTTGGACACGTTGTCACCAGGGTCTGTGCTCTGATTCCTGCACAGGGCTTGCCAGGCCCGTCTGGGGAGAAGGGAGAAATAGGAGATGTGGGTCCCCTGGTGAGTATGACCCCGCCCACCCCAGCCTTCCTTGGACTGGCGAACTGTCCAGCCAGCCCCCAGCACAGCACCCCAACAAGCCCTCAGCCTGCATACAGGCCCTGGCCTGCACCCCTGTCCTGCCCTGTGCCCAGGACCCCTGCTTGCCCAGCCCACCCTCCCTGCTCCATCTTGGAGCGCTTCTTGCTCCTGGCCCTGTCACTGATACATCTGTTCCCTCCCAGGGACCTCCCGGCCCCCCAGGACCTCGCGGCCCTGCTGGACCCAACGGTGCTGATGTGAGTCCCCTCGGCCTCCTGCCTGGGGCCCTGCTCTTGCCGTGAACTTTGGCCTCACTCAGGCCCCTGGCACCTGGGCAGTGACTCCCCTCTTTGCTCCCTTTTCAGGGCCCACAAGGTCCCCCAGGAGGTGTTGGGAATCTAGGACCCCCTGGAGAGAAGGTAACTGAGACAAGGTGGACGGCTCAGTCCTTGGGATGGGGGTAAAGGCTGGATTTCTACCCATTTTGTTTGGGGGTACAGAAGAGAAAGAGATGTGGGGGGTACTGGACCTTTGAATGTTTTCTTTAGGGGGAACCAGGAGAACCAGGATCTCCAGGGGTCCAGGGTGAGCCGGGTGTCAAGGTAGGTGAAGCTTGGAGGCCTGGATCCCCAGTCTGTCACCCTGACCTCCTGTCCCCCTCTGAGCTAGAGCCATCATTCCAGCTTGGCCCTGAGGAAGCCCACACTGCTGTCCATGGAGGGCAGAGGGCCCATCCTGCTGTCCCTTTGGCTGCCCTGTTATTCCTCCTGACCTTTGGAGGGTGTCACATTGTCACCGAGGGGACAAGGAGATGCTGGAATCGGGCTGTACCCTTGAACTCTGAGACCACCCCCCCAGGAGACCATTTGTACCTCCACTCATTCTCCAGGGCCCGCGAGGGGAGCGTGGAGAGAAAGGCGAGTCTGGGCAGGCTGGAGAGGCTGGACCACCTGGTCCTAAAGGCCCCACAGGCGACGATGGCCCCAAAGGCAACCCTGTGAGTGTGGGCGGGGGTGCGAGAGGATGGCTGTATGACTGTATGAATGGAAGACCAGGAGAGAGAGTGTGTGTGTGTGTGAGGCCTCGGCATGCAGGGCACCCCAGCACTGGGGAGATGCTTGGGAGGGAAGTTCTGGAAGGGAACGGGGCCTCCTGGGAGGAGGGCCTGGGGTCTAAGATGCAGAGGGAAAGTGAGGCGTGCCCTCTCACCAGAACCCGAGTGTTGGAAGGCATGTGGGGTGGGGCTGGGGGAGGGCACAGGGGCCCTCTCCTGAGTGAGCCTGGTGCCCGCAGGGGGAGTGTGGCATGTGCCAGCCGCCTGTGTTGGCTCTGGGTGGCTAAGTCTGCTATGATTCGGACCCTTGTTTTCGCTCTGGCTTAGGGGCCTGTCGGTTTCCCTGGCGACCCCGGCCCTCCTGGAGCAGTCGGCCCTAGGGTGAGTCTTACCAGGACCGAAGTCGGGGTCGGGGGGCTTGGGGCAGCTGAGGGACTCGGGCCAGGAAGCGGGGGGCGATGGCAGCTTCAGGAGTGATGCCAGCCAGGCTGGGAGCTGCCCTGACCTGCTTCCTTCCCGCAGGGCCAGGATGGTGCTAAGGGCGACCGAGGAGAGGATGGCGAGCCAGGCCAGCCTGTGAGTGAGCAGGACCCCTCCCCGCCAGCCGGAGGCTTCACACCCCTTTTCTGTGCTCCAGAGTAGGGGTTCCCTGGCCCCCTCTAAGCGGCTGGAGGCCGCTTATTCACCCCAGTTCCTCTCTCCCTAGGGATCTCCTGGGCCCACTGGGGAAAATGGGCCACCTGGACCACTGGGGAAGAGGGTGAGTGAGCTGGATGCCTGGGACCTTGGGCAGCAGCCCTTGGGGAGGCTGGGTGGAGGCTGGGATGGCGGCAGGTGATGGGCAGGGAGGCACCTGGTGTCTGGGTTGTCCTGCAGGGGACACATGCATCTCATGTATCTTTGCTCCCAGGATTTGGTCTCTATGTTCTTTCCAGGGGTGATAGCACCGCCTGACCAACCAAGATGGACTCTGGGGGAGGGGCTTGCGTTCTGAGTTACCGGGACAGGAAGTGGGCCTGAGGTGGGACACGGGCGTGAGGGTCTCCGCCAAGTATACAGAAGTACTTGGCATTCTCGCCACTGGGCCAGCGGTACTTGTTCTTTCCGTCCATGCCCTCTGCGTTTGTGCCTGAGTCTGCACGTGTGTGCGCACGTGCGTGTGAGCACAGGGACAGGCACGGGCAGGAGTTCAGCCTGGTGCCCACTGCCTCCTTATCACCTCCCTGCCCCACCACAGGGTCCAGCAGGCACGCCCGGCCCGGAGGGGCGACAGGGAGAGAAGGGAGCCAAGGTGAGCGAGGGGCCCCCGGGTGCTGGAATGTTCCCTCCACCTCCTCCCTCAGATCCCTCTGTCTCCAGAGGGCTGTCCCACGGCCACCTCTCCCATTTGAGTGCTTTTTGGGGACAGGGGTCCTATACTTGCTCCTGCTCTGGGGTCTCCTGAGGTTTGGCCGCCTCCTTCCTGTCTCACCCGTTCCATCTTGAGCCCCCTGTACCCCATCCTCTGCTCTTTTGGACACACTTTTTGTGTTTCAGGGGGACTCTGGTGCTGTGGGTGCCCCGGGGAAGACAGGCCCTGTGGGTCCTGCTGGCCCAGCAGGAAAGCCTGGCCCTGATGGGCTGAGAGGACTCCCGGGTTCAGTGGTGAGTCATGGGGTACAGGGCAGGGGGAGGGACCATGGGAGGGACATAATGTGGGAAGTTCCTCCTGACCTGGGGTCTCCCCAATCTGTAGGGTCAACAAGGCCGTCCTGGAGCCACGGGCCAGGCCGGGCCCCCAGGTCCTGTGGTGAGTGAGAACTGGGTTGGGTTGGTGCCCTGGGGTGGTGGGCATCAAGGGGAAGCATGGAGGGAGTGGGAGGCCATGGGGAGGATCTGGCCCCATCTTCTGTAGAGAATGACTTCCTGTCCCCATGCAGGGACCCCCAGGGCTTCCTGGCCTCCGCGGTGATGCAGGAGCCAAGGGGGAGAAGGTAAGTGACCAGCGGATCTCTCCCACCACGCTCACTTCGTGGAACCCATGGGGATGCTCCTGTACTACTCTGCCTCAGGCCTCAGTCCCCAGGCCTTGGGGTCCTTACTCATGGGGATGGGTCGCCCCAGACCCCACACCCTGCCTCCTCTGTCTTCTTGGCCTTGTTTTGCTGTTGGGGCTTAGACCTGCCACCTCGCCCATACAAGCACGCGCTCTATCGCTGAGCTAGGTCCCCAGCCCCTTGAACATTCTTCTCTATGCATGTGACTCTCCCTGCATCCTGGTGATCACTGTCCCCTTCTCCAGGGCCACCCAGGTCTCATTGGTCTGATCGGCCCCCCAGGAGAGCAAGGAGAGAAGGGTGACCGGGGACTTCCTGGCCCTCAGGGCTCCCCTGGACAGAAAGGAGAGACGGTGGGTCGAGGGCTTGGCCTTGGGAGTCTGGGGGAGCAAGAGGAGGTCACAGTGGAGATGGGTTGGGACTCAGCTGTGGGTGGGGGTCGGGCTTGGGGGGGGAGCCCAGCTGACCCAGGCCCCTCCACATCTTAGGGTATCGCAGGAGGATCTGGCCCCATCGGTCCTGGAGGGCCTCCTGGCCACCCTGTGAGTATCCCCTGCTCCTCTTCCAAGTCCTCAAAGCCGGGTCCCTGACCTTGCAGTGACTTCTATCCACCTTCAGCCTTACAGAGAGTGTTCAGGGTCCTCCAGTGTTTCCTTCCCTGTGTTCCTGGATCTCCAAATGTCCCCATATTCCGCATGCCCCTCCTGTGGTACCCACGGTCCTGTGGACATGTGACCTTGCTCTCCATTCCTGTGTCTTGGTCTCCCGTGTGACTTTTTTGTTCCTCAATTCACAGGGACCTGCTGGCCCCAAAGGAGCCAAAGGAGCCACAGTGAGTGACCCTGTCCACCCTGACCTTTGCTTCCTCAGCTGGACTTGACCCCATCTCTCAGGAGCAACCCTACCCTTGCTCCCAGATCCTTATTCCTGCCCAGGAGACTCCTTTGACCCCTCTGTGACCTTGACCTCATGCTTGACCTCTTGACCCCACCCTGACCTCATCAATCCTTTGTCAGGGCCCAGCTGGACCAAAGGGAGAGAAGGGCGTGCAGGGTCCCCCAGGACACCCGGTGAGTTCTGAGGGTGAGTGGGCTCCTCTGGCCTCCCTTCCTGCCACAGCCTAAGCTTCACCTTCATGGCAAACTGCTTTCACCCCCTCATCTCTCAGGGCCCCCCGGGCGAGGTCATCCAGCCACTGCCCATCCAGATGCCCAAGAAGACTCGTCGCTCAGTGGACGGGAGCCGCCTGATGCAGGAAGATGAGGCCATGCCGACTGGGGGTGCTCCGGGCAGCCCTGGGGGGCTGGAGGAGATCTTTGGCTCCCTGGACTCCCTGCGGGAGGAGATTGAGCAGATGAGGCGGCCGACGGGGACCCAGGACAGCCCTGCTCGCACCTGCCAGGACCTGAGGCTCTGCCACCCCGAGCTGCCCGATGGTCAGAGCCAAGCTCAGGGCCAGGGCACTGGGGGAGCAGGGTGGAGCAGAGGGGATGCTGCGAGTGCGGCGGGGAAGGCGCTAGGGTGGGCCAAGACTAGTAACTGAGCAGTGGCTCCTGTCACCCAGGCCAGAGCTTCAGCATCTGAAGTGTCTGGGTACTCCCGTGGCCCTGCCAGGACCCTGCCATCTGCAGCCAGGGGCCCAGAGTCCACACACACACACACACACACACACACACACACACACACACAGGCACTTGCATTCACACCAGGCGGCACAGGTACCTGGTGTGAGGATGTCACGCTCCTCCATTTGAAGAAGCCTGGCGTTCCTGTTGGGGGCAGGGTGTCAGCCATAAGGGCCCAGCAGCAGGAGATGGGGGAAACTGAGGCAGGGTGGAGGATTGTGGGGAGAAGGTCTGGGCCACTGAGTGCTGTGGGGAGGGCTGGGGCTGCGGGACAAAAGGAAGGAGGGAGCAGAGACCACCGAGGCTCTGACCTCCTGTGTCCCCTCACAACAGGAGAGTACTGGGTGGACCCCAACCAGGGCTGTGCCCGGGATGCCTTCCGAGTTTTCTGCAACTTTACAGCAGGAGGAGAGACGTGCGTGACACCCAGGGATGACATCACCCAGGTGAGAGGTGGCGCCTGCCTGCTCCGTCCTTGTCCCCCGCACAACCCCTCGGTGTGGCGGTGTCTTGGGCCCTTGCTGTCCCTTCTGCTCATCTGCCGTGGGATGTGCACTGTCCCCTTCCCTTGGACACTAGGACACACATCTGCCCCTGGCTCTCACCCACGCCGTGCTTTGCAGCTGCTCCCCAGGCCGAGGGTGACCCCCCACATTCTTCTCTTTCCAGTTCTCCTATGTGGACTCAGAGGGTTCCCCAGTGGGTGTGGTCCAGCTCACCTTCCTGCGCCTGCTCAGCGTCTCCGCCCACCAGGACGTCTCCTATCCCTGCTCTAAAGCAGCCCTCGATGGTCCCCTGAGACTTCGGGGGGCCAACGAGGACGAGCTGAGCCCAGAGACCAGCCCTTATGTCAAGGAGTTCCGAGATGGCTGTCAGGTGGGATCCCAGCGCAGGCAGGAGATGGGGGGGTCCTCTGGGCAGTGCGCTAGGGACAGCAGGGAGGAAACAGCTTCCAGAGGGTGGCCAAGTGGGGAGGGGGACAGGAGCCAGGCCCCTATGAGCTGCCTGGGTGGGGTCAAGGTGCTTGGAGAGGAGTCAAGCCCAGGGTGGATTTGGGGGTGCCCTGGTGCTCACTCCACACTCTCCTGTTTCCCCTTTAAGACACAGCATGGCCGCACGGTGCTGGAGGTGCGCACCCCGGTGCTGGAGCAGCTGCCCGTGCTGGATGCCTCCTTCTCAGACCTGGGGACCCCCCCAAGGCGGGGAGGGGTGCTGCTGGGCCCGGTCTGCTTCATGGGCTAGGACCTTTTGGTCTGACCTGTCTGTCACCACCAGGCCCACCTGGAATCACATGGCACTGGCTCTGCTCTGCGCCACCTCCCTCCAGGGCTCCTCTCCATCAGGGCCTTGGGCCAGGACACCGAGGGCCCCCAGCGAGGGGCAGTCAGGGGAGGGGTGATTCTGGGTGCTGGGAACACCCCAGGGGAGGGTGGCATCAGCAGCTTCTGGGACTCCCACCTGGAGCCTGTGACCCATCAGAGAGCTGAGACCCTTATTTAAAACTCACCTGCCGATCACCCCAAACAAGTGGAAGAGAAGAGAAAGGACACTGTGTATTTTGTATTTAAAAGTAATTATATTAATTATTTAAAGAGTGAAAAGCACTATAACAAAAAGGATAAAGAGAGAAATGCCAACAGAAGTGCCCGGATGTTGAAGACAGGCTCTCTGAGGGTGGGCCGCACCCCACCTTTGCCTCAGGGCCTTCCTCAGGGACTGTGTGTGTGTGGGTGGCTGGCTGAACTCCACCCCCGCACACCCCCAGTAGCACCCACTGTGAAAGCTGCAACACACAGTCTTCGCAGGGCCCTGACTTTCCCTTGGGTGGGGCTCCCTTGTCCCTACCTGCCAGGGGTTGGCTCCCTGCCTGGACACTTGTTGTCCTGTGTCACTTGGCTTGGGTCTGGCAGTTGCTGGTTGCTACTTGAGGACCCAGTTATGCTCCCAGAGAAGACATGGAATGCTGAGGCCAGCAGATTCTTAAATGCTGAGGTTCTTCTGTATGGGCTGGTAAATCACCATGGCCCTGAACTCTGGGAGCATCTCATTGTCATCCTGGTCACCCTGGCCCTCCTCTGGACCACTTCCCCGAACCTGCAATTGAAGGGTTAATGTGTGGCCCAAGGATGAAAGGGGGGGACACCAGGAACCTGCCTGGCCCCAAGCCCTGTGTCCCTCTGTCTAATGGTTAAATAATGTGATTGTCTGCTCCTGGCGTTTGCCTTGGTACTTGCGTTGTTATTTCAGTGTCTCCCAAACCCATGAGCTCTTTGCAGCTGAGCTGTTACCAGGAATGGGCGGCTTGACCCCGACCCTGAACAGCCCAGAGGGCGCGAGGCTGGGTGGACACAGTCACAAACTGATGCCCAGATGCCCGGGGGACATCAGATGGGCTCAGTCCCTCTGGCCCAGGGTCCTGACACTGGCCTGGGTGTGTGTGACTGATTTCCAACTACAACGCCCCAAGATCTTTAGGGGCTTCCGGGCCAGAAGGAACCTTAGGGGGTCCAGTCTAAATGCGGGGACTGAAGGCCACCTCTAACGTGACGTTCACTGCACCTCTGCTCACTGCACCTCTGCTCACCGCGTCCCTCCCCTTGGGCCTACGACCCTTCATAAAAGCCAGGGCTGCCCGCTTGTTCGTTCGTTCCATATTCGAATATTCGGTCCTCGCCCCATCTCCTCCCACCCATTCCTCCCCAAGCTGCCCGTGAGGGCTCAGCCAGAAGCTCGGGTCCCCTCTAGGTCAGCGTCTGCGGCCCTGCCGTCTGCTCCCCGCCTCCCCCTGGCTCCCCTGGGACCCGGCAGGTGGCGGCTCAAGCTGCTCCAGGGACTCGTCCTGGCGGCCCGCTCCTCCCGACGCCTGGCTGCGGGGTTGGGGAAGGGGAGGCCGCGTGTTCGGGTTTGCAGGCGTCGGGTTTCGCGGCTGCAACCGCAGGGCGACCCCGGCCCTGGGAGGCGGCGTGCATGGCTCCTTGAGCTTCTCTTGCGGATCTCCGACCGACCCCAAGGCACCGCGGCGGAAGTCCCTGTCCCCAAGGTCTAAACCCCGGGGCGTTCGGACCTCTTTCTCCTTGATCCCAGGAAGCCTCCGGGGGCTTCCAGAACCCCCGTGCACAGGTTGGTGCGCTGGTAGCCCCGGCGCCGTGGGGACCTCGCTCGTGCGCGCGCCCAGCTCCGCGCATCTTCCTGCCTCTGCCGCCCCCTGCTGCCGGCGGGCGCCAAGACCTCCGCCCGTTATGGGGCCAGTGGAATAATCTGGGTCCATCCGACTCCCCTAAACCTCTGCCCCCCTTCGTCGCCCCCGGAACTCTTACTCCCACTCCCTCCCACCCAGGAGAACACCCAGGAGAAGAGTGGGTGCAGAGGGAGCTCGCTCCTCGCCTGTAGCCTGTCGCCTGTTGGGTCCGGCGGTGTGTGGGGTGTGGGGTCCCCCAGATTTCGCCTGCAACTGCCCTCCCTGTGCCCTGACACTGCGTGGAGAACACCCTGACCTAGCGAGGCACCCCGCCTGGCCGAGCTGGGCCAGAGCTGTGCTCTCTGTCTCTCTGTCCCTCAGAGGTCGCCCCCGGAGCCCGAAGGTCACTTTTGGTCCAATGCTCTGGGGGAAACGTGGCCATCGCCACTGAACTAACATTTATCTTTGGCGGTCGGGTCCCCAGGCCACCCCATGAAAGCCTGTTCAGCTAGCGCTCAGCTGGCCCCATCAAGCAGTTTTATGACAGATTCTGTGCAGGGGCCGGCTTGACCCTCCCCCTCTGGGGTCCACCCCAGGGGAGATTAGAGAGAGCTTCCGAGGTGGGGTTGGGGTAAGGCGGCTATAGGTGACACTGGCGACCTGGCTGGGGCACTGGCAGACCCACAAACAGCTCAGGCAATGGGGGCTTCTAATAGGGCCCCGGGGCAAGAAGAAAGAGGCAGCAGCGAGGAAAGAAGTGGGGGATAAAAAATTAAAAAGGAGAGAAAGAGGTAGAAGCATTGGGAAGCTACACACTTTTGGGGGTTCGGGCAGAACACAAACTTTACTGGGGGGGACAGGCTCAGAACTGTCTTGACCGCTTTTCAAAGGAGTTAACTTGAACCCCAAAGTAAGAGGAAGTAGTTGAGGGTGCCCGAGAACACATGGATGTGACACAACTGGGCTTCGAGGCCTGGTTTAGGTGGGTGCAGTTGGAAGGGACAAGACGTGGTCACACAGCTAACAGTCTTCACAGCCGAAGAGAGGTGAGGGGACCTCGAAACACAGAGGGGTTGCCCTCTGGCCTGTCATGGGCTTTGGCTTGCTATTATTGTAAACAGCTGAGTTTACAATATTATAGGCAGTCCGAAGGGGCCAGGGCCTCAGAAGGCCAGTACAGAAGACAAGATTCCTTGCAACTGTAGGAGAGACGGACACTCCCGCTGCGGGCCAGACCTCTCCCTCCATCAAGACAGGAGATGGAACCAGTGCACACTCCCAAGGGTTAGGCATCGAGGACTGATACGCTGAACAGGTCTCTGTCACCTTGAGGAAGCCAGGAAGAGTCACTAACCTAAGCCCCTGAAGCGTAAGCCCCTGTTCTATGTTCACATGGGCTCGCTACATTTGGTCCTAATTTAGTCAATTTACCTGAGCAATTGTGTTTCTAATCTTACTGGGTGAGCATAGCTTTGTCCCTCCTCAAGGGCAGAGTTCCCATGTTTTCTACCTTAGACCTGCCTCAACTCATGGCTTTGCTCTATACAAATCCCTAAAAGGACAGATTCCTGGGCAACCCACTGGGGTCCCCTTCTGTCCCTTTCTTGGACAGAAGCTTTCTTTCCCCCAATAAATATTCTGCTGTTAACTTCTGTTGTTCCTAAAATTTATTCTTTGGTTTTAGAGAACACGAACTCGTCCCCGGTATCTTTCGGGTTGGGAGCTTCATTCCCTTTCATCAGTATTTGTGGCTACCCTGACTTGTGGTAAAGGAGAAATAATGGCCACATGTGGACTCCTTAGCTTAAGTCACTGTCCCTACCCTGGGAAGGCTCCATGCCCAGGAGGTCAGGGGTGGCAGATCTGGTCTCCCCCTCCCCCAGCCGGGTTGCATGCTGGGATTTGCAGTTTTGAATGGGTGGGGTAGGTGGTGTGGGGCAGGGAGAGGGGAGGAAGGCTCAGCGAGGGTCCCCGGGGCCTCAGAAGTTCCTGTATGGCAGGGGTGGGGAGCCATTCACAAGTTCGGTGCAGTCAGCACTGTCAGAGCCACACGGACTTCTTCCTGGCCAGCTGTGTATTTCGAGTCCTGAGCCTGCAGGAAAGAGAAGTCCCTCCTGGCCTTCTGTTAGCTTCTTTCTCATCTCCAGAGCAGTTCCCGGAAACTGCCTCTTGCAGCAGACTCATCCTATTAGGGGACACCTGTCTCGTTCATTCCTGAATGATGGACAGGGACATCTGCAGGGGCACAACCTTCTGGGCCACCCCATGGCCACACAGCGGGATGGGCACAGCTTGCAGTCACAGTGAGAGCCGGGTGACGCTGGCCTCCCCTGGGCCCGGAGCCTGTCGCGTTAGTGTCCCTTTTCCCTGGCCTCTCTTCCTGTTGGTGGCATCTTCTATGCTCAAGTCCCTGTGATTCCCGAGACACAGGCAGATGGATACAGGCCCCGCAGCATACTCCGGGGGTCTCAGGGAGCTCGGGTTCCAGGCCCCACCTGATAAGGCTCTGACTCCACAGAGACTGAAGCACTTGGGTCAAGGTGACATAGTCCTGCCTTATGTGGCCGTCTCCCCCGGGAGGTCAGCCAGGGGGCCCGTTCTTCTCACTCAATAAGATTTACCACTATTACTTGTGCTTTTTTTCACCTCTATTACTTGTGCAGGAGAAGTTCTTACATCTTTGTCACCTTTCAGTGGCTATTTTTATTAATACTTGTAGGTTTTCTCACTTTTCAGAACTAAAGTACAAAAACAAGTGAACCCCCCAAACTAACAAACATGTTTTAGATATGTAAGGCTCACAGGGATGGGACATGGCACCGTGTTTTATTGGAGCCTTGGGGACGGAGAAAGTTAGATAAAAACAAAACTGCCCACCGAAACTCTGAGTGGCAGGTGATCTAGGTTTGGTGTGGCTGGGCAGACTTAGTGCCGAGGCTGGGACTGGTATTAGTAGGCACAGTCCCCTCTGTTCTTTCCTTTCTTCTTCCCTCTTCTCTTTTCTCTCTTCCTTCCCCTCCCCTGTCCTCCCGCCCCTCCTGTCTCCTTCCCTACTCTCCTCTGCCCTCCCTTCTCTTCCTTTCCCCTCCCCTCCCCTCCCCTGAGATAGAATCTCAAGGACTGTGTAGTGCAGGCTGGCCTGTCCCTGCCTCAGCCTCCCAGGCGTTGGCCTTGCGGGTGTGCACCACCTCGCCTGGCCCTGCTGCAGCTCTAGCGAGGGCCTTTGCTTCATTCCGCTTTCCGGGGTATCTCTCCTCTAACTGGGTTGCGTGGTAGCCCCGTTTCCTCACCTGCGAAGTGGGAGGAGGATTGCTCTCTTCCCCACTGTCAGCGTTGGCACTGCGAAGGGAGGGGAAGGACTGGCCAGATCCCTTGGTTCTCCTTCACATGCTGGGGGCCACAAGGTATAAAGTGGCACAGTATCTGTCCTCCTTGCCCCACCTTGTGGGCTGGTTGAAATCCAGCTTCCTCTCCATCCTGGCTGAGATCTGGGTGGTCAGTGAGGCCGTAAAGCTCAGCCCAGGATGGGTTCTGCTGGCGCAAATCTTAACTTGATTCTTTATGATGTTAAACTTGCCCAATAAGCCTCTACTTCTGGGCTGCTCCAGGATCCACCCCCCCACTGGCTCTTAAAACAGAGGCTAGCAGGGCAGCCCGCGTGTCCCCATAGAACACTGGTCACCTGGACACTTATTTCTTTGCAGCTCTCGTGCTCGTCCTTCCATAACTCTGGCCAGGAGGCTGGGGGCTCACTGCAGGGGTCCCTGATAACTGGCTCCATGGAAAGGGTCACCAATAGTCACGTTTGGTTTTTGCCGTCACGCCGGCTTCTGGGTCATGCTGCTGTCCCTTTACCCTTGTGATCTGGCTGCTGCCAACCTGCCCTACTTTTGAATATTTTCTATTTACTCCTAGCAAAGTCTGATTCAGAACAAAGCTCCAAAAATACTGAAATATTGAAAATATTGTGGTGTCTCAGAACTCAGAATTCAAAGGAAGAGT